TCAAGGCACTGTGGACAATCTTTTGTACTAAAAAACCAAATAAATGTCACTGTACAAAATTCAATTAGAATATACTAAAAGAAAATGAGACTTAGAATAAAATAATAAAAAAATAGAATTAGAGAAGATCAAAATTAATAAATAATAATAAACAAGTAAGATATTCACAATGTTTTTAAGTTGATTTTAACAACTTTTAAAAAGACAATCATCAAGTGAGAAATCTACATGTTAAGCTCAAGAAAAACAAAAAGATGAAAAACATTAATAAAAATGAAAATTAAAAATAGATTTATATGAGTTTGAAAAAACTATTAAAAATAGAAGATAATTTAGCTATATCAAGAAGAAGAAAAAAGAAGGATTTTTTATTTTTATTTTTGATTTTTTATTATGAAAAATAAAGATGGTTATAGTATATTTAATATTTAGTAATAATTTAATATTTGTCACTTCTAATTTCTTCTCTATAATTATGCATAATTTATTTTACCTAATACTAAGATAATTAATATTTTTTTAACTACAAAACAAAAATACTATGAAAGACATTAAGATAAAAGTATATCCACTAGTTGAGAAGTTTATTCACTCTTATAATAAAAAAAATAAGGCTTTTATTTTTCTTTAAATATATTTGATGTAATAAAATTTAATTTATTAAAATTAGACCTTACTAAAAAAATTTAGTAGAAAAAATCTAAAGTCGGAGATGAAAGACTAATAGTCTATGCCATAATATAGTTAAAACAATCAACATAGGCATAAAATAGAGTCACAAACCAATAAAGTCTACCAAAAGATAGAATAAGGATAATTAATAGATATTTATTGTAATAATTAGAAACTTAAAAGATTTTAATAGAATCTATAATATACATCAATCACATATTTGTATGAGATTTATTAAATTATCTTTTTGTACTCTTTTAATTTAAATCAAAGCATAAGAAGAAATAATATTTAAACACTTAGACATTTATAATGGGAGGAAGTAGAGTATTATTTTTAGAAGAATTTCTTTACTTTTTTAAAGATAAAGATAAAAAAATAAATCGTATTTTTTATTTAATGGTATTTTAATTTTAATATATAGAATATTAATTAATTGATAAATTTATTAAAATTTATTATTGATAAAATATAATAACAAAAAGCAAAAAATGATTCTAGAAAAAAAAAATTATAAAATCCATTTTAAACTACATTTTTTGATAATTTTAATTAAAGTATAGAAACAAGTTTTTTTAAAGACTTGTAAAGTTATTCTTTATTCTTATTAGTTATATTTTCAATAATAAAAAATAAAAAAGTATTATCTATAAGTAATTAAAAAATACTATAAAAATAACTAAAATAAGATAAAATTTTAATTTATATTCAAATATAAGCATATTATAAAATAAGTATATATTTTTAGATAAAGTTATAGTACTCTAATAAAAAAATATTTAAATAACTAATATCAAGTCTTATAGAAAAATCTTTAATGATGTAAGAAATATAAAACTCAATCAAAAATCTAATCAATAATTAAACTTTAGGTCAAAGTATATTAAAATATAGTTTATCTATAATTTTAGTTTATCATCTAATACTATGATTCTAAATTATTTAAAGAATTAATAGAAAAAAATTAAACCATTATATAAAGACTTATTATGTTTTTGCTTTAAAATTAGAGATTATAAAATAAATAATCTTTATATGTAGAAGATAATGCAAGAAACTAAAACCTTTAAATTCTTAGATTGGTTGAACTTTAGAACTCTTATTATTTTGGCTTTGAACTTAGAAAAATTGATCTAAAGGCCTTCTGAAGAATAGATGAGGTAGAATGTAATTTCTTTCTATAAAACATGAATAGTGTTGATTCTTAGCATTTTGATTGCATAAATTTCAAGAGTTGTTTTAAAGAAATGATTAAAAATTGATGTTATAAAATAATTAAAATAACCTATAAGTAACAAAAATTTGTTGTTGTTGTTGTTGTTGTTTATATATATATATATAGAATTTCTAAATTTTTTAGAATTAAGGCATATACCAACATATTTATACTTGAAATAAAAAAAATAGTTTGGTTTAATTTATAGCATCTTTTCACTCTACACTACATGTAAAGGCCAAGTCTTTCAAAAAAGATTTATTCTCTACTAAGCCTTAATAAGGCATTAGAATAATGGTCTTGTAAAGTGGGCTTCAAGTATAAAGCTATTTTCATTACTCTATTACATAATATAGACAAGATCTTTGAAAACATTTGATAATTAAAAATTTGGTCTCTTTATTAAAAATAATTATAAAAAGATCAAAGTGCCTTTTTATTCCTTAAACACGTTTTGAACAATGTATTTATTATACATAAAATAATTTATCATAGAACATTGTATAAACTAAAAATATTTTAAATTGCTTATTACATTAAAATTTATAATTTAAAGTCATGAAATTTTATTTATAAAGCTATATATTCTTTAAATTTTGGCTTAAAATTTATAAAAGTAACAAAATAAATAATTAGAGAGAAAGACATGATTAACATAAATAAATCAAATTCTGAAAATATTAAATTTATAAAAAATAAGATAGTATTGTCTATGAATCTCCTATTCTATTCTATTCTATTCTATTATTAAAATATTCTACAACTTGAGTTTGAATTCATTATATGTTAAGCAAAAAATGAAACAATCAATAATGCTTAAGCATTGTTCATGTAAAATAAATAGTATTACATATTTTAAATTTATTTATTTTCATTCTTTGGCTAATATTCTTTAGTTAATTTATTTTTAAAATTAAAATTAATATTCTATAGAATCTAATTTTATAATTAATACTAGTATCTCAAATCATTTAATAATAGCTTCAATGAATTTTTTAAATAGTGGTATTAATAGATTTATTGAAGAATATAAAGACAAAATATTGCTTAACAAGAAATTATCTTTGAATAGAAAAATAGACTACTATAAGAATCCAATTTTTATAGCACACTAGAAGAAAATATTTAATTAATAGAATTTTATACTTGCTATATGTAAAACAAGCCTTTATATACTACCAAAAATATAAATATTTAACTATCAAATATCATATAACTTAAATCTTTAAATCTTTCTAGTATACATACATATCTAGTCAAAAATTTATAATTTATAATATTACTTTGTTTCTAGCTAAATCATAATTCTATGTTTAATTTCTACCTTAAAGATATAATAAACCATTGAATATATTTTAGTTTGAAAAATGATCCAACTTTTATTATTAAAACCACCAAATTACATGCTTACATGATTATTACTATTTAAGATTCTTTAATTTAATGTAGATAGTTTTAATAAATATATAATATTTTGTTATTACAAAGTAATAAATCAATAAATATAGGAAAAATTTAAATAGACCCACCTTTGATAAAGAATCTAATAATTATGATGAATGTGGTTGATTTTTGTTGGTTGTAGATCCAATAATAGGAAAAAGAATCTAAAAATTATTTTTATTTTATTTTATTGATTGCAATTCCAATAATGAGAAAATGAATCTAGATTTTTTATTTTTTATTTTTTATTTTTTTTATTGATTGCAGATCCAATAATGGAAAAATAAATGTACAAATCAATATTTTTTTTATTGATTGCACATCCAATAATGGGAAAATGAATCTAGAAATCAATATATATATATATATATATATATATTTTGTATAATGGTTAGGATAGGTAGGTTGATTTAGTAAAAAATTGGGTCTACTTAACATTCTTGTAAATGTATCCCATATAAATTTAGTAAAAAATTGGGTCTATTTAACATTCTTGTAAATGTATCCCATATAAATTTAGTAAAAAATTGGGTCTATTTAACATTCTTGTAAATGTATCCCATATAAATTTAGTAAAAAATTGGGTCTACCTAACATTCCCATAAATGTATACCATATAAATTTAGTAAACATTTGACACAATCATACAATTCCCTCCTGTCTTGTCCTTCTGTTTGCTTTCATGACTTTTCATTTTCATTTTTTCATTCTTTTTCTTCATATTTATAAAGTATTTTCTTCTGCATTCAGTCATGAGTTCCCATGCAAAAGCTGTAGGCAATCGACACACAGTACAGTAGCCTTGAAGAAGGCCATCACGCTATTGCCTCCATTGTCATGACAAACCCAATTCAGCCCCACACACACACACCTAGCAGCTCAGCACTTGGGGTGGATTGATTGCAAGCTAACATGCAACGAGATCCACAAACCAACAGTGCAAAAAACAACGATCACAAGCCAGCGATGGAAATCATCAACAGCAACCTACCCATCAGTACTTTTATCCAGAACTGCATATTTTGTATTAATTTATTGCTGCCCTAAAAAGTCTTGCATTCTTCTTCATAACACACAGAACCTTATCTGCACCCTTACGGTGCCATGAATGCGCACTTTGTCACTGTGTTGCTGCAATCAGTGATAAAGTCCAAAACCGGATCTGGGTGTAAGTCACCGCAAGCCCTGGGATCCTTTCGGAATGATATCATGAAACGTTCACACCCATCGCTGGTGGGACTAGATGCCACATTGCCCAAGAGATTAAAAAAATAAATAATAAGATAAATAAAATAAATCTCAGAACCCACGGTAACGTTGTAAACATGCAGGGAGGGTGTAGGGTGGTGGTGAACCTGATCACGCTTACCCTCTCATGCACGGCTTCCGTTCACATGCAGCAGGCTGGATGCGAAGTTCTGCTATCACGCTCATTCTTAATTCCGAGGATGCAAAAGTTGACGTGGATTGGACCGTGCTTAATGAAGTGTCACCACCATTACTTGAACTCAGGATTGTTGGTGAGGATTTTAGTTCATTTTGTAAGCCATTTACGTGGAAAATCATCCGAAAGCTTAGATGGGACTGATTTGTTCAGTGTGTACAATGTCCACACGTAGCGAGCTAGTTCGTTCATGACCTTTGGGAACTCTCCTGGGAGTGCCACTTAAATTGTGGTTGTAAAAAAGTGATATGTTTTCAGAAGCTGAGGAGGAATCGAAGCTTTTGGATTAACAATGAGCTTATATTAGTCGCAAAAGGATGACCCTCTTGAGCTATAAAGACGAGCTAGCCCCTGGCGGAGGGGTCAGATGCAACTAGACTGCAGAGCCTGTGAGACCAGTACAAGCATTGAAGTCTACATGAATCCTCCGCTTCGCAGTCACATGTATATCTGCTAGTCTTCATGCCATGTACACTAAGCTTCCAGTCAACTTAAATGCTGCCCATTGAAACCTTCTTTCTTGTCTGCTCAAGCTCAGACTCGGTGTCTTCATTGTGACCAACCTTCGGCGAAGACAACCGACGGTCTTGAGCAGTTCCTGTTTCTTCTTCCTCTTTTTTATCTACTTTTGTTTTTCTCCAACCATTCAGTTTCTTGTATCATGGCACCAGCATCCGACTCCGCGGTGGAAGAGCCGAGTCTCGCCAATACAGGTGCGGTGATGAAGTCCTTGAGTGATCTGGTGGTGCAGAACGGCAATGGAGTGCATGTCCGCTGCCGAGACGATGGACTCAAGGACACCAAGGCTGGAATAGAAATCAAAATCATGTCAGACTTGGGCACTGAAAGCAACGGCGTTGCGGCGCATACTAACACCAATGACATAAGGTGCGAGGGTTATGTGCCGTATGCAGTAAAACTGGTGGAGCAAAGGCCGCCTGGTATACTGGGCATGGGGACTGCCAATCCTCCGCACACATACAAAATGGATGAGTTTGCGAAGATTCTGGCAAAGCCTGAGTTCAATGGGCCTCCTGGGGCCGAAGTGTTTGTAGACCGTATCTGTAAGAAGCATCCAAAACTTTCTCTCACTTGCTCGCGTCCATTGCTTTCCAGCCTACAAACTGTACTAGGTTTATGAATTTGAGCTGTTCAACTTCAGTTAACTTACAAGAACTCTTAACTTGATCATGGCAATCAAGCTGCAGTGTGGCATTGTGGCCTCAAGACACAGAGGATGGCATGCGTATTTTGAGTTAGTTGTCTAAAATGCTTCAATCACATTGTCAATGTCATAAACTTCGATAGAAGGTCATGATGGTGCTTAAACCGCACTTTCACAATGTTTGTGAATACGTAACTGACTACTACGTGAATACGATGCTCTAGGTAAAGCATCCGGCATAAAGAAGAAGCACACTGCTGTAACCGCAGATGAAGTCTACGCCGGATACCCCAACATCTACAATTTCGGTGAGCCTTCCTTGGACGACCGCTTTAAGCTCTTCGAGAAGCAAGGCATGAATATCTCTATAGAATGTTCAGAGAGGGCACTGAAGGACTGGGGTGGCGACAGATCTGCGATTACCCACTTGATCGTCTTCTCCTCTACTGGAATGCTCACACCAGCCATTGATTATCGCCTGCTTGAGGCGCTAAACTTGTCCCCAAATGTGAAACATTACTTCGTTTCGTTTCTCGGTTGTCACGGGGGAGTCATCGGGCTTCGCACTGCCTGTGAAATTGCGGAAGCGGACCCCAAGCACCGGGTATTGATTGTGTGCACTGAGCTCAGCTCCGTGCAGGCGCAGAACATCGACCCAGCGTTCACGCGACTGAATAACATCGTGACGCTCACAATTTTCGGCGACGGCGCTGGAGCCGTTGTGGTGGGTCAACCCTCGAAAACGGAGGTACCATTCTTCGAGATGATCAGATGCAAGTCCACGATTATACCGAACACCTCCAAGAGCATATCAGTCATGATCACCCAGCATGGTCTTGACGCTAATTTGGAAAAAGATGTGCCTAAGAACGTCTCTTCTAGTACTGGTGTCTTTATGAAGAGTCTCCTCGATGAGTTTGGCCTGGACTTCGCCTCTGTCGGCTGGGCTGCTCATCCTGGCGGCAAGCCCATTCTCGATGCTATCGAAAAGGTTTGCGGGCTCCTACCCGACCAGCTCGAGAATAGCAGGTACTTTCATTTATTTAATTATTTATTTATTTACATACTTGTGCATGTGTGTGTATATTTATGCATATGCACATACTAGACTTCAATTAAGGTCCAGCAAATGCGGTTGAATGTTTGAACGCGCACGTCCTTTACAATCACTATTACAAAACAACAACCTGGTTTTGATGTGTGATGTTAATGAGCAGATCTGTGCTGGAGAACAAAGGAAACATGAGTTCTGCGAGTGTGTTCTTTGTGCTGGACGAGTTTAGGAAGAAGGGAAGGGTTGCAGGTAGAGATTGGACGGTTGCCTTGGGATTTGGACCTGGTATATCCATTGAAGGCGTATTGCTCCGTAATATTTACCATTGAAGTCATTTCGTTGTAGTCAATAAGTGTCACCGATACATTTGTGCGCTTAATGTTATATTTTACTACATTAGGACTTCGTGACATCCTTGTTCATGATGGAATTCGGTGCTCTCGCTGTCACTCAAGTCCTTGTGTAGTAACTTTAGCGATGCGTCAGCCGTGAATGGTTTGTGTTGTTTGTAACACAGTCGATCTTCTTAAGGATACTAGTTCTGTTCTGTTATTCTTTAGCCATGTACATAAACTAAGTCCTGTGTTGGTTTACACCAGACGATGGCTTAAGGTTCTGTAGCTTAAACGTCGTTATTAGTAAATTACTGGATTTGAACAGTAACATCATGTTATTCTATTATATTCAATAAAGGCCATTTTCTGTCTTAATTCGGTAGGTATACATCTCACGATTGCGCACACGCTGATGGAAACTACTAAGTATTGTGGAGTTGGACCAAGAACCTACCTGGAAAAAATTCATTCAACTGCTGCAGGTTTGAGAAATTTTCAATAGTGAACAAATAGGATTTTTCTCGAAACAAAGATATATTCTTCCATCTCAATGCCAAGAACTATGCAAAGTCGATTGCAAATTAATCGAGTAAAATGCAGAAATAATCGATATGAATAATAAAACTCTAGTGTGAATAATCAAACAAACAAATATAATACAACGAAACAAACAGAAATTCGTCAGATAATGTCCACTTTCAAACGGAGAAGAATGCATTAACCACGACGAAACAGACAGGCTCCGTTAGTACTTTTTCGAAAGTCTCACTTGCCAAGCGCATCAACGTTCATTCAAATCCAGTGCGAATAGGAGTTATGCTGAAGAGGACATCGAAAATCTAGAAATTAGAAGTATACTACGACCGCATACACAATGCTGTATGCATATGAAAAAGGAGATTGCAAGGAAAGTCGATGAATAAGTATCCAAATAATTGATTTAAGATAGCCGAGATAAAACAAACCCTCTCTGTATCACTAGACTATATTGAGCTAATCTGTAAGTAGAATGCTAGTTTGCAAAATAGAGGCACACAATGATACTCAATAGACAGATTTATTGATTTCTGTAAAACCCAAGCCAATATGCTACATAAGTTATCCTTGCTGCACCCATACGCTCACACCTGTGTCACTAGTAGTAAAACACGTTCTGATATCCTCCTCTTATTCCACAAGTGTCATACACCGACAGTCCATAATCAAACTCGTAGCCATACAGAGGACGAACGCGAAAGCTTCACAGCCGAATCAGGGTTGTAAGCTTTTCTACAGCCTGGACAGCGCCCATCATCTGAAGAGATTCTGTGGTAACAGAACAGACACAATTGGAAGCCACATGTGCAGGGAATGTACGATGAATCTGTCACGTCAAGCTCCTCAGTGCAGATAGGGCAAGAAGATGGTGTCGCAAGTTCATCCGCCCACAAATTACCGTGCATGTTACCCCACCCTTGGTAACTGTTGTTGCTTGAGTGATTCGGATAAGAGTGCTGCTTCGCAAGTCTTGGAAGCGTTGGAGGTCGAGCAACATCATCAGGCCGCCAAGCCCTTCCGCCGTTTCCTCTCCTGCCTCCGAAACCAGAATTCTTGTACTTGTACTCAGGTTTCAGCTGCCCACTCTGCATATCAGAATGATGCAGATTGTAATGGGCACCAACATGTTTCTTGTCCTGTAGCTCCTTTCCTTCATTTAGCTGCGCTCGATCGGAACTAGGACCCTTGTGTGGATCATCAGATCGGTGTGGAGAGCTTTGTACGTGCAATGCGTCAAAAGCAGATTCCCAATCATCTTCCGCATCATGCGACCCACCGTTATCTTCGGAACCGCTTCCAGTGTAACTACTGCTTGCACAAGAGCTAGTAGACCTCGACTTGCTTACATCGCTAACCGAACGCCCGTTGTTGGCCGAGTCCTGCTTATGTTCATCTCCCACTTGCGACTCTCCATCCCCGAAAAACTGAGGTGCCCTAGAGGAACTGTCCAGCCGCCTTGAACTTACCTCTTTTTTTGAGTTCTTAGCCTCGTTACCAAGACCACAGCTAGATGGTCGGGAAGGTGTAGCAGGTGAGCCTGCAGGTATTTGCCCACTCGTAGACTCACTAGAAACCTCCACCTGACTGCGAGTGTGCCCTGACGGACCTGCTCGATCCTGGGCCCTGAAGTCTCCATCCCCTGCCTTGTGTTGGTGCTCACAATTCCTATGTTGTTGCTGACTACTTTGCTGCTGCAGTTCTGCATTCCCTTGTTTTCCTGGAGAAGGAGACATGAAATCTCAAACTACGCTCTATTGAGACAATGAACTCGCAGGCAGATAGATATCCTACTTTTGCGTAGGAATCATCAGGATGGTAGTGATGTTACTTAAGGAGCATCTTCTTCTGGACCAATTTCAAGACCATCCTTTCTTCTACTAGTCGACAGCACACTTTAACTGAGAAGCTAGAAGGTCGACGAGTCAAACCACTGGAAACTAAACTACTTCGAACTAGGATAGCTTTATACATACATGGATATCCAAGAGATAACCGATGATGTCGGGCTCTATACCGTGCTTCAAAATACAAAACTAAGTTCAAGCATCACCAACTTCCACATGTTCAAATATCAAGAAGCACGCTGAAGTAAAACTTTTCTAAACACTAAACAACTCAATCAATCAATCAATCAAATTTTAAGAGATCAAAAGATTCCACAGAATCCAAATTCCGAAAAAACCACTACCATCCTTTAGGCATAGACCATTGCAAGGTAAAACCAACGAGACAGGGAGGACACACACACAGAACAAGATGAGGGGCAAACTTACACAAAACCTTTCACTAGTAAAGAAATGAGGACCAAACAACCGAAACAATACAGATCTACCTGACTCTATCCCTGTGCTATGCTGTCTCCTAGATTCAACTGTGACTTATCAAAGATCCAAGTGTAAGAAGCTCTACCTTGTGAGCCTTGTGATAACCACTGCTCCCTGCGAGCGTCCAGCTTATACTGTTTCAGCTTTGCAGTCCGATTTGCCTAAACACATAATCATCTCAGTATTGTTTCAATACTAGAATTGCCTACTCACACCTCTAATGAATAACCGGTATGCCTCTGAATTACTCACAATTCAAACTAAGGTGTGCAAGAGGCTACCACTAAAAGTTCACTTGAACCATTCAAGAAGACATAGGTCAATCGGACGCATGAACAATTGAAGTCAACCGGGGTTCAGCAAAAGACTACGAGAACAAGAAGCTATGCAGAATGAACAAATGCACGATCCAATTAGCATACCAACTGAGAACACAGAGAACAAAAATCGCAGAAAAGATCTGTGCAAAATGGCAGAGTGAACAATCACTTTTTAAAATTCGACGGAACATGAAGAATCACATTGCCAAACACCTGTGAGAATGCAACGACTGCGCGAGACACCTAAACCTCTCCGCACATTTCCTTTCTCCAACTCGCATCTTCGCATGCTTACGTGCTAAAGAAGCAAATTGACAGAATAGCTTACTCAAAACGAGTGCAGAACATCTTTTGGAAACTTGGGCTTCATGGCTTCTAGTAAGAACAGATACGAAAATCTTGAATTGCACATGAAAGAAACGGAGAAATGAATTGTGCAGTGGACACTACGAGAGAATTTACCAACAAAACATCCGCAAAAGCTTAGCCAAACCGTGTGTGAAAATTGAGATATGCGTTGAGTAACTCAGCCCCAGACAAAGTAACGAAGGAACTGACAACCTAATTCCCACGTTAAATACGTGCTCAAAAGTATCTAAATAGGATGCTCTATCCCCACCTTCAATTGGGTTCAAACTAGTCAGGAGAATCGAGCAATTCGTGGCTGAAGATGTGAAGCAATACACAATTCTATTCAAAAGACAATGCTGAAATTTCATCCAACAATGTGCGGACGCAGGTAAGTGTTTGCCGGCTATAAAATTCGGACCCTGAGATTTTAAGATGCCATTTTCTTCCTGCTGAGACAACTAACGGTTTCTAGTAACACAATCATCAGATGCTTCAACTTTTGTCACATGATGAGTTGAAATTTATTCAGATAAAGAATTATAGTTTTGTGATTTTTCAACAGAAGTAAAAAATCGTGTATCCTAACCCTTACACACTCCATCTCCGCAAACTATGAAGTATAACCAACAATGCGAACCAATATATCCATCTGTCACGTATTACCCAAGCACAAGCAAATCACATCGTTACAACCACCTCCAAGGCTTAAGTAGTCCGCCATCCCAGGGATCCCGGGCATTTACTCGCATATTCATTGGAAGGAGAGTTACGGCACACGGATCAAGCGAACCAATCTAACATACCCTCTTCCGACGACTGGCATCTTTGGCGTACAAGAATTCGGCCCTGGACTGCTTACTATCCCCACAGTTGCTGTCGCTGTGCAACCGCGCAGAGTCCTGATGATGTTCCCCCTGCTTCTGCACTGATTGGCACGGGAAAGACAACCCGGCGTTGCTCTGAACCACACTAGCTGTGCTACTACTGCTTTGGCGCTGCACAGTGTGAACATTCACGGTCGAAAGCGTATTGGCAGCACCCATACTAAATCCACATTCCACCATCATGCCCTGACCGCCTGTGCTCTGCAATGTCTGTCTCAATTCCTCCTTTTTCAACACCTCCACACCAACACACTACTCGCCTCGCTCTTCCCGCATAAACGCACCGCACCACACCGCACCGCAACGCACCGCCCTCAACGAAAGCTTTCGAACTCCTCTCAGTCTCACTCTCTCTCTCTCTCTCTCTCTCTCTCTCTCTCTCGCTCACTCGCTCGTTCGTCTTCCGCCTTTGAAAAAAACAAAAACCCAGTGCTTCAACAACCACATGAGCTCTCTCAACGTGCGACACTCACTTCATTAACAATAGGATCATGGCATCATCTCGTGAGGCTTTGTATGGCTTTCGACCAAACCCTGGAAACCAAACCATGCTCCCTGGCACCAACACATGGCTTACCCACACTGGTTAATAATTTTGTTTGGCAGTACGTCAGTGGTAAAATGCCGTCTCGCACAATGAGCCGGATTCCATCACCACGGCACAGCATTCACATCCGCTTTTTCCCTATCTAACGGAACCACCCCTCCCTCCCTCCCTCACATTGTCTGAAAGCCTGGACCCATCGTTATTGCCACACGTCGATACAGCATTCGCAGAAATGAACCTCTTGCCGGACGAAAAAGAAGCACGTTTTCACGCCGCTGTGAATTCCGAAGCCGCTCGAGAAACGCAGATCCCCATAGGAAAAACAGGGCACGCACCACCAGTCCCCACAATTGCCGTGCCGTGCCGTGCCGTCGAAAACTGTTTGAACCGCTCTTTCTTCGTTTTCCAAGCCTGTGCCCAGACCTACCCAAACGGGAGCCTCGGGCCCAGACCTCCTGCTCCACCAAACCCTGCTGTGCACGCTATGGACTCACCATAGCGGTATCATGAGGTGGTCGTCGATCCTTCTAGATGTCGAACCTGACCCCCGAGGCTGTCCCGACCTACCTCGCCGCATTCGCCTCCCTCCCCTCCCCACCCCTTCTCCCGCGCGTCTGCAGCGGACGCGACGATGGAGCGGGCTCGGGGGCCGCACGTTGCTCACAATTCCATTGCAGCTCCTGGCTCTGTGTCCGCGTCCTCATCTCCCTCCCTCCCTCCTCTTCGGACATCTTCTTCTTCCTCCACTCCCTTCCTTCGCTTGTTCCTGCTCTTCAGATTCGTCGTTGCTTGGCTTTTACTGATTACGCGACATGAGATTGATTCCCTTCGCTGTTCGCTTTTCAGCGCAAGGCTAGCGATGCGCTGCATCGGATAGAGCCTTGTTTGTGCAGTCTCAACCTCGACCATCCTCCACCTATTTCAGTCTTCATCACCACTTTGGGCTCCTTTCTAGGCCGCCAATTCGCTTCACCTCTCATCACTCCTACTCTTGATTGAATCATGGATTTCTTCGCTTCCTGAGTTTCATCCACGGTTTACCATCAATGTAGTAAGATATACATACATTTCATGTGTGTGTATGTATATATGTATGCAGTTGAACTTGTGTGGTTGTCATGGAAAATATGCAAAAAATTAGTTAACTTTGTAATTGTATTGAACAAATTATCATGAGCAGACACATTGAACTGTTGTGAGAGCAACTCACCAAGTAATCATGTAGATAGCCAATATTAGATAATTGTTTGATACATCATGTCTTTGCTAGGGTCTTCAAAATAGTTTGTTTCTATGATTACATACCATAATACAAAATGCAAATTCAGGACTTTCGTTCCTTTCAACATAATATAACTTATGATATGAATGTTTTTGGTATTAGATGGCAAAATGTGCTTGGTGCGTTGCTCTCACAACAGTATGAGGAACACATAGAATGATTTCTCACACTCTCAATTGGAAGCTTTTGAGCTCTACATCTAATGATCTTGCAATGCTATTCTCATTCATCTGTAGCAACATCATGCAAATTTTGATCTCTAATTGATCAAAAGTTGAGATATTGCCTCATTTTTTCTTCACTTTTGATAAAAACAATGAGATATGCAACCAATTAGAGATGTTTTTTTGTCTCTTGTAGTTAATCCCATTGATTGATCTCCCTTGAGTTGTGTTTTTATGAGTTGTTTCACATAACTAAAGTCAAAATATATAATTTAGTACAAAAAATAATAGAATTTATAATTTTTTAAGATATTATATTTAAACTTTCTAATTAAAAAAATTCTATATGTCAAATTTTTATTTTTTGAAAATTGCAATATTAAAGATCTACAAGACTCTTATTTATCAAAAAAAAAAAAAAAAAAAAAAAAAAAACTTTGAAACATATAATTGATCTCTTTAACAAATTTATTTATATTGTAAGCATGTATAATTAATTATACAAGACAAATTATAGTCTTTTTAAAAAATCTATTATAAACCAAAAATATACAAAATACTTATATAAGAGTTGTGAAATTGCATGATGCAAATTTAAAGGTATATTCTTGATTTAAATTAAATAAATAAATAATATCATTTAATATATTAAGATATTGTCTAGTTGATTTTCAATCAAAAATATGGTCTCTTGACCAAGAATGTAGGAATTTTTGTAATTATTTGCATTCCAATGTTTTTATGCAATAGAAGATCTTTATATATATATATATATATATATATATATATATATTAGACTCCAATATTTTATACTTATAATTTAATTTACAATGAAATTAGAAGATGATTTATGTATTTTTAAAGATGCATTGTATAAAAAAGAAGCACTTAAAAATCATTTTTTTTTCTTTTAAGAATATGGATTTCTAAAATGATTTTTTTTAAACACATATTTAAAATCAACACTTTTTTGTAATCAGAGATAGATATAAATTTATAATTTTAAGTTAATAAATATTTATATTTTAATTAGTTTTGAAAATACTACATAATATACTATTATAATTTCTTTTAATGAAGTGACATCAATTGTACTAACTGCAATCAAAGTAATTAATATATTTTTTTAGAGTTTAACTTTAATTTTTTTTTGCAGTTTAATATTATTATAGCTTAATAGAATGGTCATGTGTTAATTTCATGAAATACAAACAAGACATGGAAAGATGTTTATTATAGTATATTAATAGTTATTATGAGTATGAAAAAGCTCTTAAAGCCTTGGTAGTTATGTAATGGTTTTAAATTTCCTAATCTTAAATAAATTGTGATTGAAGCCAATGTAGATTTATTTTTTACTTTTTTTTTAATTATTTGTGGTTTATTTTCTTTAGAATTGTTGCAGTGTACACGTGGTGCAAAAAAATTAATTCAAATACAAATGAATCTGCTTTAATGTATTTTGGCTATTAACATCCATGGTTAAAATAGAATAAACTCAATTAAAAATATCAAATATTATATTATATATATAGTGTGTGATAGGATATATGAAGAGAACAAAGCAACATATCCTTCAACAACATCAATTGTTGTGAGAACCAATTATGTATAAATAACTATGCTAAATAGAAGGATATGATTGACTATGCAAAAGTGGTATGGGTCATTGTCAAAACAATATCACAGCATCTACATCCTCTAAAGAACTTATGGAGGTCCTTTAAGAAAATATGGGGAGACAAAAGATATATTTTGTTCTGGTCCTACCATGTATCTAAAGTTAAATTGGCACTATATTTCTTTGGTGTGTAGGGAAGATTATATTCACATTCTGCATACCCCAATTCTGTTTGTTTCAAATCAGTAATATATACATATATACTTTGAGGTTTTGTTTAATGACAGTCATTCACATGTGATCAATCATTTATAAAATGCTATTTTCTAGTCTAATATTTGTTGTTTGTCATGTGTTAGGGTTTGCTTTTCTATTGAGTTTGAGTCATTCAGAAGTATCAATTCATAATGATTGTCAAAAGCAATAACACATGCATGACAAAGAGATTATGCTTTGGTAAAATTATTTTATTAAATCATTAATTAAAAAAAAAGTCATGTGCATAAAATGTTAATATTGATATTACAAGTTGTCTTGATAAGAACGACATGATTGACAGAGATTTAGTCTTGCTGTGCATGTTTCACTTCCAATGCAAAGGTTTGTCTTTCATGATGCCCATAAGTAGACTAATTGTTTAATTACACCGATCTAAAAAAAACAATGATATGTGATAACATTTTGCCTGCAACAATGCCTTTTAACCCAAATAAAGAGATGATTATTTACTTTCTAAATTTTGTACTGTTTTTTCATTTGTTCTACTTTAGTCCAAAATCTCTTTGGAGAATTTTATACCATTTTGTAATTTTTAAATTGGAGTGATGGAAAACTGTTGTCTTAAAAGTTATCTGGCATTGCATTTGTGAAGGTGGCAGTTGTCTCCCCACAAAAAATCATTGGGGGTCATAATCTGATTTATTTTACTTGGTTGAAGAAGATATAATAGAGTTTGCAGCCAATTTGTATTCCTTGCCAAATACAAAAATCCAATTTTGTTCACCTAAAATATCAAAATACTGTGCCTTGCTTTCCATGTAGATTTATTGGATACAATTTCATTTTATGACTGAATCTGTCACTTACAAGAAGAGATATTGATCAAGATAAGAGAGATGTGACAACAAGTTGCATTGTGACTTTTCGTTATGTTTTTACAAGCACATTGTGATGTAACAAGTCAACAGTATTTTAGGAATGTTCAAACACCATGTCAATCAATGCTGTTGACTTTCAATTAAAATAATAATAATAATAATAAAAACACACACACACACACACACACACAATGAATTTATTGATAAAATAATAATCTCCTTATTGTATTAAAATATTGCATATTTATGTATATGTGCATTCCATCACATTGTACCAGCAGAAATCGATGTAGTTGGCCACAAAAAAGGTGCCCAATGGAAAATATTTATTAGTTTACTAAATCACTGGGAGCTTCCAAGCTCCATGCCTAGTGATCTTGTAGTGCTACTCTTAGCAACTTCATGCAGATTTTGATCTCTAATTGATCCAAATAATGAGATATGCAACCAATAAGAGATGGTTTATGTCTCTTCTAATTTATCCCTAAACTATGTCATATAAAAGATACAAAACTCTGACACGTTGCACAACATTCTAAGGCACAAATTAACAAATTATCAGCAACTTCAATGAAATGCTGATGAAGGGGATATCTCATCACAATATTAATTTTATTACACCAATTAAATGAGAAAAAATTCCTCTTTTATATATATATAAAGAAACATACATATATGTTTATTTGGAAAGATGATCCTTTCCTATGTTACAATTTCACATCTAAATGGTATGCATGATGTTATTAGTTTTAACAATAATACTTCTTCTTGTGAGACTTTCCAAGGTCCAAACAATGGATAACTGTCCACCGTGGCAAAACGTTCCCCACAACCGGGCTCAAGGTTCGAATGGGGGGAACACTGTACAGAACCCCGTTGGATTGTGAGCACGACGAAATCCTAATCGAAGAAGACACGGAACTGCCATGGCGAGAAAGTAGAATTAATTCGCTGAGGATGTTGATGATTCGCTGCTGCCGCTGCTGTGAATTGTTCCCACTGGCTTGTTTCCGAGAGAGATCGAGCGAGCGAGAGAGAGACACGGGAGGGCTTCAAGAGGAGAAGAGGTTGGTGTCGAGGAAGTCGTTGCGGAACTTGCCGGAAGGATCGTGTTCATCGGCCATGCGAAGAAAACTAGGGAGCTTTTCGTACTCAGAGTGGAGCTCAGCCGGGGGCACAGTGAAGAGCTTGCCCCAGTGAGGACGAGGGTGGAAGGGAGCGAGTTTGCCCTCGATCAGAGTCATCAAGCGCTGCACTGCTGCCAATTCGTTCTTCCAAGTGAAGTGAATGGCCACGCTCTGACGCCCATACGCGGTGCTCATCCACAGGTCGTCGGCTGCGATGGTGCGGATCTCGGAGACGAAGAGATGCGGGCCGATCTGGTTTCCCAGGGTCTCTACCGCCAGAATCGCATCCACCGCGTCGCTGCGAGCCACGATATACTCTGATTGCAGTTCGTCTCCCGCGCTCGGGATGCTTCCCAGGCGAAAGTGCGGCAGACGGTCGTACCACGGCCCGGGTATGCCTAGTTGATCGGTACAATTCGCCGCATTAAATCCTTCGATAGGATGAAGCTTTCGTGTAGCAAGGGTCGCGCCGAAGTATTTCTTGGGGCCCCAGAATGGCTGTCCGTAACCCTCCCGGACTTTGATCCAAAGCTGCTTGATGCGCTTCTTCTGCCAGTCGGTGAAGAAACTGACGCTGTATCCGCCCGACGTAATGGCGTCGAAGTTTTCTGCCAGTTCCTCGAGGGGTAAATTTTCGTATACCCACTGACGCACAGTGTAGGTCGGTTGAATGTCCAGGGTGATCCGGGTGATGACGCCAAGAGCTCCTAGTCCGACCACGACTGCCTGAATGGGATTTAATTCGTCCGAATGAGATGATCCGCGTGAATATTTCACCACATCTCCGTTTGCATGGACGAATTCAAGGGCGTAGACGGCAGTAGCGAGGTTCCCGTTTTTATTGCCCGAGCCGTGCGTGGCAGTGCTGATGGCACCGGCAACTGTGGTGTCCAGGAGTGAGGCCAGGTTGTGGAGCGCAAAGCCCTTGCTATCCAGGTATGGGCAGAGCTGAGCGTATGTGATGCCTGCGTCCACCGTCACTGTGCGGGCCTTGTCGTCGAGGGCTAACACTTTATGCATCGGCTTTAGCGACAGCTGGTTGTCATCAGTGTCTGCTATTGTGTTGAAGCAGTGCCCAGAGCCTAGCGCCTTCACCTTTCCTTTAGATTTCACCAGGGTGCGGATCTTTTCCACCGAATCCGCCTCTTGGAGGACATCTCTATGGAAGACTATGTTGCCAGCCCAGTTCGTCGTAGTCAGCTCGAGAACGTTTGTACCTGCAGCCATCTTTGAAACTACTATACAAGAAATCAAGACAGAGGCTACAGAGTAAATGAAGCCGTCAGGGCAACCCTGTCTGAATAAGGCGGCCATCTTATTTTCAACCATCTAAACCTCGAAAAAATGGCATGACGATGCTCTCGATACTCGCAGTTTATACCACTAAGACCATTCGGTCAATTGTTGGGACCCCTTCCGCAGGACTTTCCCTTTAAACTGGCTCTGCAGGGTTGTTATCATCCTCTGACAACATCCAGACACTCAGTGTGAGTCCCCAGGACCACGCACGTGCTCAGTTAAGTACACGTCATGCAGAGTTCAGCTGAGATGTGGGCATCTAGTTGGTGCGAATGAGTCAGAAAAAAAACCAAAAAGATAACATGCTCTTACTTGGCGCCCACATTCACTCTGGATTCTCAAGTTTGCCGGGTCTGGAGGTCGTGCCAAGCCTAAGAATGTCTCCAAATTCAATTCGAATTCCAAAGAGGCATCTCTCTGGTCGTAACGCTCCTCTACTGGATTCCACCCTCCCCTGAGGTAAGCCGTGTTTTTTCCACTTTGCATGCGTAGGCCTGTTAATACAATCGATATAGGCTTTTTATACTGTCACCATTGTCGGCCACCTCAAGAAAGCGCTGGTACACAAAGTGGGGGGCGAGGGTTAATTATTGAGGCGCAGTGAAAGAGAGTCCTGATGGGGCTACAATGTGTCGGGAACCCTTTGACCTTGTAGTTGTGTTCATCAGCAACCTCGGTAACCCCCCCCCCCCCCCAGCTTTGCTCAAGCTCATCTGACAGAGTCGATGTGTGTGTATGTGAGTTGCACACCATGAGCCCAGCTGCTGGCCAGGGGGTTTTGACTAGTTCACAATCAGGCAAGGTTTCCAAGCATTTTGGCCACTTCTCTGCGCTCACGTCACTACAATGTTTCGTATAATCCAAACCAGCTTGCTTTCCCATCTGACTGTGGTACTGGCCACAAGTTGGTAATGGAACTTGAACACACATGCAAACTGAACTCCGATCTCCGTACTAGACTCAAATCCATAGTTTCAGTTAAGCTTGGAACTAGACGCATCCCTCTTACCAGAAAAAATATAAAATATAAAAAAATAATACACCTTTGGCATCAGAAGTATTCGCAAAAACTAGAAAATTATATGATTTATTTTTCTTTAAAGCTTCCAATAAGAACATTTCAGGATAGTTTTCCATGCAGTTAAACCATCGTAAACAAATTTCTAACAAAAGATTTTAAAAAAATGATGGGTTTATCGTTAATGGTAACAGGAGGGAGAAAGAGGATGTGGTAGAAGGTCAACTAGTGCAGTGAAACTATTAAATCTCATGATTGGTGTTGTGCAAGAAACATGTTGTTTTTTTTTTAATCTTATGAAGTATATTTGGATTACACAAAGAAAATAACATTTAATTTGGTGGTACAACTAATCAAGAATTTGCCAAAGATTTATACTGTGCTAGTAGACTGAAAGAGATGTTTGCTTAGCAAGAGTCTTTTAAGTCTTAATATACTGATTAAATAATGCTCGTACATGGATAATCCACTCTGGTATCTTGTTTCGAAAACATAACTTCCATATCAAAAAAATAAGTGAGATTGTTGAAAGAAGTGAGTGGTGAGAATAAATATGTAAAAAAACAATATAAATAAATATATGTTAAAAGAAGTGAGTGGTGAGAATAAATATGTAAAAAAACAATATAAATAAATATATGTTAAAAGAAGTGAGTGGTGAGAATAAATATGTAAAAAAACAATATAAATAAATATATGTTAAAAGAAGTGAGTGGTGAGAATAAAATGTCAAAGGTGGCCAATATTTTCCTATAGCTTGGTACAAGGTAATTAAAAAAAAAAAAAAAAAAAATCACCTTCCTACAAATTTTATTTATTTGCATCATGTGTAGACATAACACTATATAATAGTTTGAAAGAGCCATTTTTTAACAAAAAGAAAAATGATGAAGAAAAATTTAAGAGAACAACCCAGTACACTTAATATTAGTGAGATATTATTTATATTATTTTTTACATATTTTTAAACAATATAGAGTAAGGAAAAAATTTGGGTGATTCCCTGATTACAATTTGATAACTTCAGAAACATTTCCTTGGTTTAATTTTGGTATTGCATTTACTTGCATTAACTACAGTACTAAATTCTTTATGTCCTCCTCCAAAATTTAGTTAGTTTTTTAAACAAGCTATTACAAAAATAAATTGATGTTTAATTTTATTTCTTTTTTCTTTATAAAAGTATAAATTTTAATTTTATCTAAATTTAATATATATATATATATATATATATATATATATATATATATATGTTAGGAAACTATTTTTATGTTTTAGAACTTTTTTTCTAATTTTTAATTTTTCTTGAAACACAAAAAAATCATGTTTTAAAAACTAAATTATTTTTGGAAGTTTATAAAAACAAATTATTTTACAAACTCCGATTTTAATGAGCTTATGTTGAAAATTAAAAAAAAAATTAATCACAATATTTATCTAAGTTTTTTTTGTTCTTAATCAAAACATAAAAAACACAAATAAGTTTAAATAAAATGTATTACAATGTAAAACTACAGCCAAAAACATTTAAACTATAATGGTTTAAAAATACAGCCAAAAAAATCTAAACAACTACAATATGCAAATATTTTGTTAATATTAATATGCAACCATAATATGCATAATATTGCATTTATTATATGAAAAATTTAAACAGCTGTTTTCTTATTATTTCAATAAAAAATAATATTGCATAATATTGGATTAAAAATTTCAAAATTTTCATTTTTTTCATGTATAGAAAATATATATGGTCACTAACTATTTCATATCATATTTTTTACTATTAAATTATTAAAAAGCTCTTAAAATGTTTAAAATAAAATACACAATGTGAAAATTACTTATAATGTTAAATAAATAGCAATAGCTGAAATTTATAAAAGTTGGTAAAAACATGTTACACATAAAATATTGTTTATAAAGAGTATTAAAAAACTTTTATAATGTATATTAGATTTATAAATGGTTCTTAAAATGCAACATAGCTATCAAAACTTCTAAAAGAAGTTTAATTCCACAATTTAAATCTTTTAACTAGGATTCACATGGATTCTAAAAACCTTCAAAATAAACTTCTTGTTAAGTATTATTTACAAGCAAGAATGAAGCTTTGGATGATTTTGTCAATATTTTTTATTTTTAATTTAGTTTCAATTCAAAATTTTATATTTATTAATAATTTAGAATAAATTATCTTATATTGCAAAATTTTATACATATATTTTTTTATTGGTGTTTACATATTATTTTTGTTTCTAAGTAAACAAAAATGTATTGAATTCTTAAAACAAATCCAAATTCATATTATTGTCATTTATTTTTACTTATTTTTATAAGAAATTTTGAATAATTATACTTATTTCAAAATTCATAAAAATCTAAAACATCTTAATATATATATCAAGAAAAATTAAGAATTATATGATTTTTTATTTAATTTAATTATCTTAAATTAGGAGTAATTAATAAAAATGACACAAAGATTACAAAAGTTCCTTCAACTACTATGCTACTTCAAATATCTTGTAGAAGTTCAATTGTATCTACTCTAAATTCAAAAGTATATATTGTCAAGAAATTCAATAGTATTAGATATAGGTTTTAAGATTTATAAGTTTAGGTTATCAATGAGCTTCAATTTCAAATTTATCTAATCTATGCATTTCATGATAGGTGTCAAGGTCAAGAATTCAAAGAAGATATGTAAATAACTAAGATATGTATCAAAGAGAGAGAATAAAATGAAATAAGAAAGTATATATATTCAAGAAGAAACTAGAATGGCTATTGCAAAAAGATAAAGAAACTAATGACTCTTGAGACAAGACTAGGGACAAGAAATGTATTGACAAGAGTGAAGAAGGCTCCACTCTAGCCTCTATATATACTATCTAACTAAGAGCTATGTGATGACGTTCTATAAAAAATGGCTCTACATTATTGATTATAAAGACTTCTTTAGAATTTTTATATATATAAAAATGGTTATTTGTTTCAATAGATATTAATTTATACTAAGCTTTTGAATTATTTTTAAAAAATAATTCAAATAATCATTGATTTTTAAATTTATTTTTTATTGTTAATGTGAAAAATTAATCCAATGTATCCATCTAATATAAGATATATATTCAAAATATACTCTTAATTGATAACTAAAAATAAAACAAATATTTTGATAATAGTATTTTTTTAATAAATTTTATTTTTGTTAGTTATAATTATTATCAATTATTTAATATCTTTATAATTTTAAAATTTGATAATCTAAAATAAAAAGGTTTCTTAAGTTGAATGGTATAGTTTATAACAATCATAAAGATTCAATTAAAAGAAATTTGAAAATAACAAAAGGTCAATGTAAAACTTATGTAGAAAAAATAATCTTTATTCAAAGTTTGCAATGAGATGTAAATACTTTAACATATTATCAAGAATATAGAGAACTTTATACTCAAAAAATAAGATATGAGGTCACATCTATTAATTTTTTTGATTGATTGATATATAGAAGACTTACCAAGTTAACATTATATTTATAAAAGTTAGTCAAAAGATCCAAAGAAGAAAAGATAAGGTAGAATACAAATATTCAATATTCAAAATATTCAATAACAAATTCATTTTAGTATTTACTTGTAAATTCTTCACAAACTCTTCTTTCTAAAAATAATGAATCAAAATTTAATAATGTTATGATAAAAACTATTATATTAAAAATTGCTAGATATACCGCTTAGATTGTATCAACTTTCACATTTTCAAAAATTAACATTGAGATTGTCAAAAAAATTCATATCTTTTTAAGCATTGAAGTGGACTTGAATCAACAACATTAATTCTTGCATTATTATTGCTAAGTGTTGTATTTTAGATAGTTAGATTTTGAAATTTGTACTACATGGATTTGTGAATAGTATTGTAGTAATTTTATATTGCAATAATACTATAGCACCTTTTACTAACAAGTTTATTTTTACTTTTTAAATCCATTTAATAAGTTTTTGTCTTGTTTGTATTGAATATAAGTGTTTAAAGCTTGGAATATGAATAAGTCATTCTAATCCAAGCAACAATTAGTGGCCATAAATTTGTTCAAGTAGAAGCTAAGCAATCCTACACTTACAAAGTTAAATTATTTTATTTTATATTTTCTATAGCATTTTATACATATACTTATATGTATAATTAGTTGATATTAGTATCTTTTATGTGATTTCTACTATGATTTTCTATAATATTATTTTAGTGTAAAATTTAATAAACAAAAAATTTAATAAATAAATCAATAAAAATACAAATAAAATGTGTAATTCTTTAGATGAATGCACATATATAAAAACACCACTATTGTTTATATATAAAATATAGAAATACACGCAAACCATCCAATCTATTTTTGACATTACCTATCTACTCTATCATTACCTATACATGTTTAAGACAAAAATTACAAGCAAATTGCCCTTACTTTTATATTTTCACAAAACTTTAAATTTTATAATTTTATTTAATATATGTTTTTGTGAATAATTATAAAAAAATAGATGAATAACTATAAATTTTATAAAAGATATAATATTTATACATATAATCCAAGTTGGCCTGCAAAATCCATCACCCGTCCTACAGAGGGGGATTATTGCGCAATGCCTACATGGCATCCAAAATGCTAAGTTATTGGAAACCCCTTTTTACACGGGGCATCGAAGTACCCAGCGGGAGGGGGGGGGGTGTTCTTGCGAAGGCGGTTTTGGTGTCTTCGTCCTTGTTCTCGTGATCACGTTTTGTTCTGTTTTTGTGTTTGCTTGTTCTCATTGTGGTGTTTTTGGCTGAGGTTTGGGAGCGCAGGGTTTCGTAGTTTCGTAATTTGAGCGAGAGAGAGAGTCGGCGGCACAGGTTGCACTGAATGACTGCAGTGAGATAGAGAATAGAAAGGAAGGGGTGTGTGTGTCTGCGTTGGTGTTGTAGTGTATGCGCACGGGGATGGAGCGGCATCACTTCAACTACTGTTGAGGGAGACATCGGGACGGACGCGAGGTGCGTCGATGTTGAAAGTACTAGTGAGCCGAGCAGGTCACGATATGGCTGCCGTATGCCTGCTGAGGCCAATGTGTAGCTGGGGCTACTACCGCCCCGTTCCCGTCTCCGTTTGTACCAAGCTAGTTGCGTCTTCTAGGTTTTTGCCATGGGTTTGCGTCAATTTCTCGAGTAAAGGATTAGCTGCGGGAGTTAGGATTGCTGAGAGTGCGACGAGGAAAGCGCCGGCACGACCTTTGCGGTTAAGGTGAGGTCGAATTCTGACGGTTGTTTTAGATTGCTGATACTCGCCATTTGTGTTGCCTGCAATTGTTTGTTCTGTTATTTTTTTTTGGTTAATGTGAGGATAACTGGTGGCAGGTAGAGGCGAATTCCAAGGGTTTGGTTTTGTTTTGTTTTGTTTTTTGTCATTTCCTGTGCAATGCATTCTGATTCCATCTCGGTCTACATTTTTTTGATTTTTCAATTCATTGACGAGTTAAGGTTTCCTCCTTGGTTAATCTTCAGAAAATTAATTCTCACTGCTTGAGCAGGATACGCCTCTATGTGTGCACCGTGTTTGGTTTAGTCCAACCAACAATCTAAACCTAAACATATGTTGTCAATTCAATTACACTTAGGTGCGGTCAGCTTCTTTTGCGTATCCCTAGCTGATTTTCCACTTGAATGTAGTTGTGAACGTTGTGTATCATATCTTCTACACCTTCATGATAATGAATTGCAGTTACGCCCCTTTATGTAAATGCAGGTTTATGGTTTTAGAAAAGCCCCTCTTTTTAGAGGTTTAGAAGTAAAAAACAAAAGCTGTAGCTTTGATTCGTGAGCTTTGATTCATTTTCTCATTAGTTTTTCGTATGAGAGGAGCAAAATCTAATGATTGTTTAGAATTCACTTAATATTTACATTAATGATTGTTCTCACTTGTTATCTTAGCAGCCATCTATTCTAAAGAGATTCGAAACAATTGGCTTTCTTATACTTGTCTCTAGGTATCATGTTTTGAATTAGTAGATATTGACATTGAGGTTCGTATAACTGCTTCATTATTTGAGATTAATGTCTATTGTTCTGTTTCCCCCTGAGTACAGAATAGCGAAAGCAGCAATTGTTAATGAAACTACAACCGACGTGAAGCATTCAGAGGGTACTCTACGGAAAGGCGTGTTGTTGGAATTCAGTAAAGAATCAGGGAAGTATGTGCTTGCTGTAATTCAAAGACCAGAAGGAAAGAAGAATTGGGTTGCGGCCGATCAGGCAAGCTTAAAACTACCTTATTCAGTAATGTGATAATTTAGTGATACAGCTCAAAACCTTTGATCATCATCAATTTAGACAGTTCCTCTTCGAGATTCCATACATCAAAATGCAGCATCCTTTTGGTCCTTACAAAGACCCGTTTCTGCTGATTGGTTGCTTTAATTTCGTTAATAAGCAGTATGCTATTATTACTCCTTTGAATTCTTATTCACATCATCGGCGAATTTGTCATTTCTTCCACTTGTTTGGTGTTTGTATGGCTCGTCTTTTGATTTCTTCATTCCTCAAAATTGTGTAAATGATAGGGACCATGTTTGTAGAGTTTTTGCAATATGCCCTAACTCATTCTTCTGGTCTTCCATCACAGTTTGGGAACGTACATTCCGTGAAGCCACAACAGATCACATTTATTGTGCCCGGTGCGGAAGATTTTAAAACTGCTGATATTTCGGCTTTTATCAACAAGGCTCAAACCTTAGAGGTATCTCGTTATATTGATTTGTGGCCACGTGAAGTTATATGTGCGTTTGATGACGAAGTTCTTTTTATCCATGTGTACGATCAGCTATGACTGGTTCATTGTTCTTCAGATGAATTTGATTAGCGAATTCGCAGAATGTATCTACTTCTCAGTTGTGCTAATACGTAAATCACATATTAGATAACATTTTTTATGACTTATTCTATTTGCAAGGGATGTTGTTCCTTTATTTCTATGATCAATTGTTTAACGTGTCATATGCGCTCTAGACAATGCTCTAAGCTTAGGTCAAATCATTGTTATCACGATATAAGAACCAAGACTGTACTGCCTCTCCCAAATAGTTGCCTTGTAAGATATTACTAATGTGTGATTATCGTCCGCCATTCACTCTGTTGATACTCATTTGGGAACAGGATTCATCCCTCCTGGAGTTTGCTTGGGAGGAGCTGCTTGATGCTAAGAAAGATGTGAATGCAGTGGAGCTTGCTAAGGTCGGTGATCAGCTTGTTCTTATTTACGTGATTGCGACTTCGTGATCAAATTTTCTATTTGTAGGTGTTAGCTCGGAGATTAATAGTCTCCAGTTTGACTTGTGCAGATCTGCTATGGAGATGGCCCAATAGAATATTATGCTGCACATCGTTTGCTTATATCACAACAAGTATATTTTCGATGTAAACAGAAGGGACCGTCAGCAATTTACGAGCCCAGGCCTTTATCACAGGTTGACATGGTTTAGGGTTTAGGGGTTTGTGGTCAGGGCAGGGTTGGGGGATAGAGGTTTTACTATCTATTATATCCAGGGCCTTCAAGTCTTTTCATTCAAGGTGCCTGTTCTAGATTTTGTTTGAATATCGCAGGTATTTTTTCCGGATCTTACGCATCTTGTCTTGCATTTATTTCACCGTAGTGATTATCTTGATATTAAGATTCGAAATTGGGAAGCAGGTGAATGACCTCAAGCAGCAACAAATAATTGAGAAGGCAGCTCGGGAAGAACTTTTAGTATACATTAATGAGATACGGAGTGCCTGTGATTTACCCCACGAATCTAAACCTCCACTAAACCATTGGCAATCTAATGCGTATTTTAATGCTCGGACGGATGCGTTGAGAGTTTATGCTCTAGAACTTGCCTCAGCACCTAAAGCACCTCAGCAAAGGCAGTTAGCTGAAGAGGTTTGACTCTTTGCCTTAAACTGAATTCAGGCCTGTGATACTCAAGTGCAGGGTAGAGGTACCCATCGGCCTTCTAATCCTGCAACCTATTTCAGCAGATTTAATTTGGTTGCTTTTCTCAGGTTCTACATCCTCATCTGTGTTCTGTATCCTGATGGGCATTTCTTTTCTAACAATCTTTTGGAAATAGGTCTTGGAGGCATTAAATATTTCCAAAAAGTCATCCACGGCAGTAGACTTGTTAATTAAGATGGGCGTTTTCCCGGTGCATGTGAACCTTGAGTTACTGAAATCCGGTGTGCCGATAGAATTCTCCAGTGAATGTGTGGAGGCTGCCCAGAGTGTGATGACAAATCCTCCTTTAGACACAAATTTGGTGAGTCGCTGATCTTTACTGTTAGGCTTCACTTTTTAACCACTCTAATAATGAGTTTGATACCTACCGTTCTGATTTTGGTGTTTATTCTCGGATGATGTAGCATTTATGCCGAATATTTATGCTTTTAGTCATAAAATATCCACATTCCTACAGACTTACATGTACTTAATTTTGTGCCATGTCTTGTCTGGAATGTCTGTTTACGTAGGCAGATCGAGTCGACCTTACCCACTTGAAAGTTTACACCATAGACTCTGAAGATGCTGATGAGGTACATTGATTTTTCTTGCTTTTATGTTGGAAACTAACTGTTACCTACGGAAACGAATTGTGTTATGTTCTGCTGTAAAAGTTATCCTATTTGTCCTTCGTCCCTGTAGACAATATTATACGTGATCAATAGAGCTTATTATTTTGTCACATGCTTGGATGGCATGTTATGCTGATGGAACTTTTATCTTTTCTGATTGTTGTAGATAGACGATGGGCTCAGCGCTATTCGTTTACCAGATGGGCGAATCAAGGTTTGGATACATGTTGCCGATCCGACTCGATGGGTGCCACCTATGCACCTTCTAGATAAGTACGTACTAATAACATATGTGGGTTGTGGTCAACAACGTCAGTAAATATTAGTTTTACTATCACAATATATCACTTATCTCATCGGAAACGAAGATTTTGATTTCTTATGTCAACAGTCTTGATGTAACATTCGCTCTAAGTCTTGATCTTGTGGCGTTAGCAGTTTGATCATAACTTCATTGGTTTTGGTTGGTCGAATCAACTCAAATTTCTTAATTGGACTTGAAAAACCATGAGAGTATTAGTAGGTAGTCTTTCAAGTTGTGGTTACTATCTTGCAGGTTTAACCAGATAATCTTTGGAAAGTTACATCTGCTTTCCGAATATCGTATTTCTTGTTATCTAGCTACTAGATTCTCGCATGGAGCAGTATGAAAATGACACGAAAATAATGTGACTGAAATGAAAAAATAACTGTTGCATGAGACATCACCTTTTATTGATTGAGAGGCCGTCATCTTTTTTGATACCGAAAGAGTAGCGTGTGAATCCAGAAGACATTTTGGCCTCACTTTGAATAGAGTCCCGTATCAACAATATATACTTTGCAGTGAAGTTAATACATGGATATGATTAACTAGCATTACGAATTACGGAAAGAATAATTGAAGGGTTTATTTTGATGATGTGAGTTTACAGAGAGGCAAAGCGACGATCAACATCGATTTACTTACCAACTGGAGCTGTGCCCATGTTTCCTATGAACTTAGCTTCTACCGTAATGAGCTTGAGACAAGGTCACGAGGCTTGCGCTTTAACTGTGTCGATTATCTTCCATTGTGATGGCAGGTGAGCCAACCGCTTATGTTTCATCAGCAACTGTTTTCATGCCTCTGATGTATGTGAGTATTTTGACAGTCAGGTCGTAGGTCCGGGCAGTCATTGAGGTGGTAATCCAGTACTCTTGTCTTTTTCCTTCCCTTAATTTCTTTCTGAGAAGTTTTGGGATTATTGACATGTGAGTTCCCACAAAAGTATTGCAGAAAGTGAAGTGATGTGCTCCACAATCAAGCCTACATACAGGCTTTCATATGATAATGCAGCTGAGCTTTTGTCAATGAATGTTGAGGAAGAGGCAGAGCTATATTTGTTAGCTGAAGTTGCAAAATCACGTCGAGAGTGGCGAAATTCACAGGTGGTGTACCTCTTTCTATTATGACTTTTCGCCTTGTCGCACTAGCCAAAGTTTTGTATGGCTCTTCTTTAAGTGATATTCAGAGCAATGACCTCTTCTACCAGGGAAATCAGAGCCAAGAGTTGCTGCACTATTTTGTCTGATTTTTATTCTTAGCATCGTGTGACTGATTAGAAGTATCATTTCCTTGACCCTTTTTTCGTTTCAACAGGGTGCCATTGATGCAACAGTGCCCGAAGCTAGTATTAAAGTACTAGATCCGGATAGCCCCAAGCCTTCAATTATCATGTCAGTGGTTGATCAAGCAGGACCGGCATCTCAATTAGTGTCGGAAATGATGATTGCTTGTGGAGAGGCATTGGCAGCTTTTGGTGAAGAGAAAAACATTTCTTTGCCATACAGGGGACAGGCGTCTCAAGAGATCCCAGCAGGTGATATGGAGGCTATCCCAGAAGGTCCCTGTCGGGCCCTCGCACTAAGAAGATATTTAGGCCGTGCAGACATGAGTTTCATGAAGCCTATTAGTCATGCAGCGCTTGGAGTTCGTGGATACGTGCAATTTACATCTCCCATTCGTCGTTACAGCGACCTCTTAGCGCACTACCAGGTTAGTCATGTATCAGCAAAATTGATTGATTTACGCCCTTTGAGCGCACTCATAGGACTTCGCTCGTTTGCTTCTAAAACCAAGCTGAAATCACTTGTCTCGAGCCACGAAAATTTTATTTGGCTGAAGACTGGTTATTTATGCGGACTAAGTAAATACTCCCTTCATTTACGCACATCAATGAAATTAGTAGAAGCGGTTGGCAAATCATTCTGAGGTGCATTATTATAGATTGTGTAGAAGCTCTTTTTCATAATGCAAGTATAGCCTTGGTTTGGCTTGTACGTTGGTCCCATTAGTACGTCCCTGAACAATTATGTTTGTTTAACAGCATCACATTGTCTTTTCAAACAACAGGTGAAGGCTATTCTACGGGGCGAGCCTCCTCCTTTTTCAAGTGCTTATGTGGAAGCGGTAATGGCGGTGGTCAATCTTCAGAGCAGGCAAGCTCGCAAGCTGCAAGTTTCAAGCACTAGGTACTGGGCAATAGAGTACCTCCGAAGGCAGCCACGAGGGACACAATTTCAGGCATTAGTGCTTCGTTTTGTGAGGGAAGGGGAGCCTCTAGTGCTTATTGAAAAGGTATGTTTTTGTGGTTTGCTTGTTGTTTGAAACTGAATTATAAACTTCTGTTTTCCATGTTTAAGGGAAACAGAAACCTGTGTACTCGGTGTTGAACAGTGTTCCTGTTGTGGGCATGCAGTTGGGTATCCAAGCACAAGCTAATCTTGTTAGAAATACGGCAGTAGGAAGTGAGATCACAGTGATTGTTGAGGCAGCGTATCCTCGTAACGATTTTATCATCCTTCGCCAGGTTTGACCTCGATATTATAAGTGCTTCAGTAGGAATTTTCACACTGCCCGTCATTCCGCAGTTTATTTTATATTTTTGATGAAAGATTTGAGAGAGGCTTCCGAATTGGAACGCGCCGCCCTTGTTTCACTGACTATTCAGTAGGAAAGAAATCCCCACAACTTAGCCGTTGTCGATTTTTTTCATTTGTTTTGTTTCTATTTTGTGCGGCAACAACTGGTAAGTGAAGCTATACCCATCAGAAAAGATGAGAGAACTGTCAACATTAGACTCGTGTTATCAGGTGCGTCCTAACATTGTCATTGGTGATGTCCGATGTTACTAATGCCAAGTATCTTCTTAAAGCTAGTTGTTAACCTATGACGTATCTTTTTTTATTGAAATCTATCGCAAGGTAGTTACATTAAGTCCACGATTGATTCACAACATCAAAAAACAATATAAATTTGTAACATATATTTTATGGTGTTTTTTAAAAAATCATTCATGAATTAGATCCCATCTTTTGTCTTTTGTGACTTAAAACTTTATATTGTATTTAAAAAATACATGTTGCTGTACTTAAAGAATGCTCCTAGATATGTTAGTTTGGATGTTTTAACTTCTAGAAGAATGTGAGATGTTAAATCTTGAATTATTTCAAATAATCAATGTTTAAAATTAATTTTTTTGTAAAGATATGCAGGGTCAGATGATTAAGATGTGTCATCTAATACAAGCATTTATCCACACCCATTGAAATTCAATGTGAATCATGCTTCTTTAATGTCACAGAAATCTTATTTAAAAAAACTCATAATTCTAGCCAATTCTGAACTGTATTCTGTGCTATTCACACAGCCGTAAATTCTTTTTGCCTCTCAAATCTACCTCTCCTCTTGCCCTTGCTTCTCAAATTGTTGTTCACTAAAGCAAATGATTTTCACGACACTTTGAAAAAAAACGTTGGACAACAAAAGGCAACAAGTAACGCAACCCATCCAAATCGAGATGTGATATCATGACCATAATATGAAGAAAAAATCGAACTCCCATCGTCAATTACATCTCCATTACATGAATACAATAGCTACTCAGGGTGTGATTACATGAAAATAAGTCTAACAAAGCGGGAGAGAGAGACCGTGGGCCACGTCAGAAACATCAGGTCCACGTCAGCAACTTGGGGAGGGTCAGCAGCGTCTGCGCCAATGGAGAGCATGCCACGATGGCAACGAATCCCCCGCGTGGGGACTGATAACGGCCCTCCCATCTTAAGGGTTCAAATCGCCGTCTCGCGCCCTCGATGGGCGCCTCGCAATCTGCTTGATCGCATTCAAATTTTGAAAATCCTCGAGGCAGCAGAATTGATGAAGGATTTGCAGGGTTAGGGTGGAGATCAATTGGCAGGCCACTAGTTCTGTTCCGATCGAGAGCAATGGTGGTCATGGCGGTATTGTAGCTACCAAGTTTCTTTCTACCTGCGTCGTTGAGGAAGAGTGGAAAAGTGGAGGTGTAGAGTTTCTGAAACGATGGCGGATTGGGAATCTCGTGCGAAGAGAGGCATGAAGTCCGCCTCTCAGCAGTCGAATGCTGAGCTGCTTCGAGCTATTGCAGCCCGTCGCCAGGCTCAGCTTCTGCGTAACAACAAGGCGCCCTCTCCTCCCCCAGGTTTGTCTAGTTCTCGTTTGGAAGGAACACAGAGTTGATGCACCTGGTTTTGTTGTGAGCAACACTACGTCTCGCGTCGCTGTGTTAGGTTTTGCAGTCCGAGTGATCTAGAGTGGTGACAATCAGCGTCATTACATGTGTTTGTACCTTGGTTTTGCCTCAACGAATTGCGATAGTTTGTTTCGTGTTGGTTTCCGCAAACTGATTGCTTTTGTAAAGGCTGCTTGTTGGAGAGATATGTGTTCGTAGTTATCTGGTCTAGAAACACATACATTCGCATCCATTTGAGAGTCGAAGCTTTGTTGTTTTCACTAAGATTGATAGTATATATAGCGCATGTTATCTGGATCGAACGTTCGCTATGACCTGGTCATCTCCGACCAAGCGTAAACAAGTCATTTTTTTGGCGAGCGAGGGTTTCGTGGATGCGACTACCATTCCTGTCTAGAGTGGCTAGAGTGGCTCTGGAGCATAAAGTCTACTAATCCGATTTTTATTTCATTTTATTTTATTTTATTTTTTTGAACTGAGAGGTATGAATGCAGATGAAGTGCCAACTGAGAAGGCCGAGCACGTGCATGCCGAGGTTAGGCTGGCTGCATCGAAAATCCTCCCAGAATCATCAGAAGCTAGTGGGGCGAGTAGTGATGACGATGGATCATTCGACAGCACTTCACTACCTGGTGCGGACATGGAGAAATTTTATCACTCCCACCGCTTGCAATTCAGGAAGTACGATGATTTTGTGGAATTAGCGTGATGATACTATAATTAAAAGAATGACTCTAATTTATGTAGGCAATGAATATGAGGTTTGTAATGATACGACCACTGTTAAGCTCCCATTTTTAGGACGTACTAGATGACCTTCACTCGAAATTAGAAGTTAGAGATGTGAATGTCATCTAGTTGCTTTTCTGATTCGAGGCGTTTGCCAGGTGAAGGGGGTCGATGCAAGGAATCAACTCCAAAGGACAAGTCCGAAGGTTCATCGATGGATGACCTGCGCACTGTGCTTGACCAAATGAGCATTAAAGACAAGAATGGAGCGCAGAGTAGTGACAGACCCGGGATACTGGAGAAGCAGTCCGAGAGAAAACCGAGAGACTTGATTTTGAACATACGGAAACGTCTTGTCAAGAAGTCAACAATAGTTGACTCAGACAATGAATCGGAAAGCGAGAGCTTCGACGGTGTGGACCCTGTATCTTCTCCCTCCATAGATTATAACTCAGCTGATGATGGTGATGTTGATTCACCTGTTGTGTCGAAGGTGAAGTCAAAGATTAAGCCAGCTGGTGTGGCACCAAGACGTTATCCATCCGTGGATACCCGGCCTTCTTCTTCACCAAATGCAGACGTTGAACACGTACGCGCACCAGGATTCAGAAGTGTTGCAAAAGGTAACGTTGTAAGGTCAGCATGTGCACGATTCTCTACAGTTCATAGCAGTACACTATAAAAGTTGCTGATCATCTGAGATTATGATCACTTGAGGTGTAGACTAAGTCCTGTTACAGCATTTTTAAACATGAAGGAGACAATAAGTCAATATTTGAAGAGCTTTACTGGATAATATCTCATTCCATGAGATTGTTTCTGTCTCCACTTGACTTGGAAATATCACAATCTGATCATCTCATTGTTCAGGTTTCACAGAGACCACACTTAATACAGTTGATTCTCCACCTCCGTCAGCGGCAGTCGGTAATCTTATCAACGAGTCAGATGTTCCAGAAAAACAACAGGAGTTGGTGTTATCCGACGGAAAACATCGGTTCTGTCTCCGACCAAAAACTGCGAACATGTTGTATCCGCATCAACGTTCCGGCATAGAATGGTTGTGGAGTCTGCACATGAAAGGGATGGGCGGGATCCTAGGCGATGACATGGGACTTGGCAAGACCATGCAGGTATATTCATGTTTTCTCATTGAAGTCAGAGTTATCAGCACAAACCATCGAGGTTTTACCACCACAAGGGTGTTACTGGGCATCCAGTTGATGTAGTTGTTGCACATTCGAATCACGATAACGCTCACCGTCCAATCCGTTGTACTGGTCTGGTGCCTGAGACCTTTGAAAGCACTACGAGCATCTGATTTACTCAACACCTTATTTATTTGTGTATTTGTTTGATGTCTCTTGAGATAAGTCATAGCTCTTGAACTACCAATTTTTATTTCTGCAGGTTGCCGCATTCCTGGCTGGACTTTTCTGTACCCAAAATATCAAGTGTGCCCTAATTGTTGCACCTAAAACTCTAATTGCCCACTGGGTTAAAGAGCTCAAGGTCGTCGGACTTTCGCGCAAAACTTATGAGTAAGTTGCGGTCACTAATAAGCACATTTAATGCTATTTCTCAAATTTTTTTTACGGATGACTGTTAGTTTAGAACTGCTTCTAGCGGTCTGTGAGCACTCACCGTGGTACCATGTCTGCTACCACTAATGTTCGTTGCACATTTGCAGTTACTCTGGTACGTCGGTCAAAGCGCGTGAGTATGCTTTGCAAAATGTGCTACAAATGGGAGGAGTACTGCTTACAACTTATGACATGGTCCGTTGCAACTTCAAGGCACTCAGAGGGGATTTCGATGGAAGAGATGGTTATGGAGATACAAGTGATGACATTATTACGTGGGACTACATGATTTTGGATGAGGTATAAAACGTGTCTGTTATTTGATAAACATGTGCTTGAAAGTTGTCATATAGAGTTGGTACGTAAGGAAGAAATGCAGTCCTCACATCAGTTATTATGATATATTTTATTGTTATTGTTGTTGCAGTTGGTATTTTTGTTAACGTTTTTCATAGGAACCTTGGTCTGATGATCGTATGCCTTTCCTGAGACCATAACTGACGAAGTTGAACTCAGTTTGAAAGTAACAGAAAAGGATTTTATGTCTAGATGACATGTACAATTGAAACCTCAGCTTAGGTTTTAGTGATGAGTTAAGAAAGTATCCTTGTTAACAGTTCATCGACCAATAAACTCATGCGATTCAATAAGAGGACGTCTTTCTTTTTCCGTCGTTGTGGTTCCTGTCATATGATTCACTGCAATAGTTCCTGACTTGGTACTTACATCCGAGATATTGCAGGGTCATCTTGTCAAAAACCCGAACACGCAGCGAGCCAAAAGTTTAAGAGAGATCCCGGCTGCCCATCGAATTGTTATCAGTGGCACACCGATTCAGAATCACCTTCAAGTAAGAACTATCTTCATCGCAGGTCCTTGATCTGAGCAACTGGTGATATTCTATACTGATATTTCTCTTCTCTTCGTTAGAATTTTTGGAATCCCTTAACGAGCAAACATATTTCCTGAGTAACTCACGATTATCTTACTCTTGGCTTTGATTTAGGAAATGTGGGCTTTATTTGATTTCTGCTGCCCCGACCTTCTTGGAGATAGAAAAGAGTATGCCTTTACCTTAAACCTGTTCTATTTCGATGATGGACGTCTTAAAAATATGTAAGGCCTGGTCAATACATGAGATTAATGCCTCATGTTTCTGTAAATTTAACAGGTTCAAGGACAAGTATGAGCGACAAATTCTGGCCGGGACCGACAAGAATGCGTCTGATCGGCAAAAGCGAATTGGAATACAAGTTGCAGAGGTATATGTCTTAATCATTTAGCAGTCAGTGTTTTGTACATTTGAATTTTTTCCTGACGTATATGTGGTGACTAAAACTTCTCTGATTAGACTCTACACAGCAATCTGCCATTCGAAGGACTCGTGATCTTAGGGTTAGTTAGTTGATTTCTGTTTGATTATTATGATTTGACTTAAAGTGTCTCTCCACTGCAGGAATTAAGACAAAAGTTTGGTCCCTTCTTCTTGAGGCGTTTGAAAAGTGAGGTTTTTCCAGACTCCGAGGACAAAAAAGAACGGAAGTTATCCAGGAAGAATGATCTCATTGTGTGGCTGCCTCTTTCTGAAGGCCAGGTAAGTCCTCTAAATAATGATATGCCTTTTATGAACTTCAATCCATTTATAGTTCGCATCATGATGGCTTGTGCACTAACCAATTCGACATTTTTCTTGCTGTCGCATTTACAGGAGAAATTGTATCGGGCTTTTTTGAATAGTAACACAGCCGAGGAAACATTGAGTACCGGGACGAAAGTACTTTCAGCCCTGACAGTGAGTGACATCTGACTTTTTAAATTTCTGGTCTGTTATGCAGACCTGTCATTTCGTTTTACAGACGTAGCAATTCTCGCACGTCAGGTCGTTTATATAAATGCTAATAGTCAATCTATGTGGAAAGAAACTAATTTGGCCAAGCGGTGTGAATATTTGTCCGAAGCAACACGTAGATCTACTGATTTTATGTATGTCATTCTTTATAAGATATTAATGTGTAACTTCCCGCATGCAGGTTATGAAGAAGATCTGCGATCATCCAATGTTGCTCACAAAAAGGGCAGCAAACGACATTGCTGAAGGAATGGAAGGCTATTTGGATGCTGAGGATATTCAAGCTGCAGAAGCCATGACACATTCTCTTGCTGGCATGGTTCAGGATGATGAAGACATGAGTGCAACTTCTTGCAAGATTGATTTTCTCATGGCTCTACTCGTAATGTCTCTCACCGCCTCCAGCACTTCCAGTTTCATTTTTATTTTGCTTGTTATGATATATTTCTGATGTATTCTTGGAATGCTACCAACACTTGGCTGGTACATGAGCAGGATAACCTTGTCGCGGAAGGTCATCGCACTCTCATTTTCGCGCAAACTCGGAAGATGCTCAACATCATACAGGTCAGTTTTAAATCGCTGGTTCCTTTTTCCAGCCTTATTCCCTTAATTCTTACTTCTTACTTCCCTGTTAATTTGAGGTTTCTTTAAAACTTCATTAAAATTTATTGATTTTAGAAATCATCGAAACATGACATTTGGGAAACACTTCCTTCAGGACGAAATTCTTGAGAGAGGATGGATATTTAGACGTATTGATGGCACCATTAAAGCAGCCGACCGCGAACTCTGCGTGCAAGTGAGTAGTTCTATCAATTCTGAAAGTACTTGCAGTTCGTGTAGTAATTTAGGAAAGAAATATTAGACGTGTAAGGTTTTTCGAGCGAAAATTTTATCTCTTCAAATCTAGATCTAACACACTTGGCGTACTAAGTGTTGGTTGAGGTGGTGAACATGGAGCTCACCATTGAATTGGATGATCGACTTGCATCAGGAATTCCAATCGGATGATGAAATACCGCTTTTCTTATTGACATCCCAAGTCGGTGGTTTAGGACTTACGTTGACTGGAGCTGACAGGGTTGTGATAGTTGATCCTGCATGGAATCCTAGGTAAGAACTCTCGGAATTTTGAGAACCTTTGCATTGTCCTCTTTGTCCTATTTTATCCAAGTCATTTTTATGATTTTCACTAGATGCGGACCAATAAGCTAACATAATTTTTCTGCGTAAACAGCACTGACAACCAGAGTGTAGATAGAGCTTACCGTATTGGTCAGAAGAACGACGTCGTCATCTATCGCCTCATGACTTGTGGAACGATTGAAGAGAAAATTTACCGCAAGCAGGTTAGAAGCCTTTATCATTTTCCCATTTGGTGTTCGCTTAATCTTCTGCTTGGATGCGCAGGCTTTTAATTTTTTTCTTAGTTCTTTCTGGTGTGTTGCCCTCCACATTTTTTCGAGCATTTTCAAAGAGACATGCTCTAATCTTGGTTGTCGCAATTTGTGTAGGTTTTCAAGGGCCATCTTATGAAAGTTGCGACTGAGAAAAAGAATCAAATGCGGTACTTTTCACAAGGGGTAAGTTGTTTTAAAGGTTTGCTAATTAATCTGTTGCAAACATAATGTTTTACTACTCCTCACTAAGTCGCAGCTTGCCAAATTCCTGACGAGGAGATCTGTTGCAGGAACTGGGTGAAATGTTTAAAGTACCTGAAGTAGGTTTCAGGGTGTCCGAAACACAGCTTCAACTTCACAAGGAGCACTCCAGCCAGCACAAGATGTAAGCTAGAAAAATCCTTCCTGAATCGTTTGTAGTACATCGCGTATTGATGCCACATTCTTTAAAAGCGTGGAACTCATATTGTAAGATTTAGTAGGAGGTACATTGTGACACCAGTTTTAATCCCGTCGAATGACGATATTTGCTGCAGTGACGAAGGACTACAGAAACACATTGAGTTTCTAGATGGACTGGGCATTGCTGGGGTGAGCCATCATGACCTGCTCTTTACGAAAGAGGCAGAACCATTGCCTCCACCTGGGTCTGAAGATCAAGATCTGAATGCCACATGGGAGCCTAGGTAAACTAGTCATCCTACTTTTCTACTTATGTCCTGTATGTTTACCCGTTACCGTGATTAAGCTTCAGTTGTTGACAGTTAAACTTTGTGGTCACCAGAAATCCTTCATATGTGGGTCATCGATACAAAGCAGCTTCAAAGCCTGAGAAATATTCCTGGGAAGCTTCACAAGCCGTAGGGTAAGTAAAACTCCCGTTTCATTAATGTATATTATAGAATCAGAGATTTTTGTATTGAACTTGCACTATTATTTTGGAATACATATATGATGAGGTAGTGCTAAGAAATGTGTATCCTGGATTTGGACAGTCGAGGTATTTTGGCAACCGCAACGGCAGGTTTGCAAAGCCAGGGTGTAGACAATAGCAATGCGCTCAAGGTTGAGTTTCTGAGGGGCAAACTAGAACGCCTTTCCAGAACTCTGGATGACAAGGTGGGCAGTATTCTATTTTATTTCGACTTTAAGGGTTTCTATTCAAATTTTCTGATTTCTTTTTTTCTTTTTTTCTTTTTTTTCTTTTTTTACTAACATCACCTACTGATCTAGAAACTATCTGTTCAATATTTGACAGGCAATGATTGCGAGGCTACCAGATCATGGAGTAGGCCTTGAGAAAAAACTCAAGGAGACTCAGAAAGAGCTGAGGGAAGCTGAGTTGATTGCTGGGAGCAAGGAGAATATTGGCGCGCATTTGCCATCTCGATCAGCTGCCCAAGTTCCTGGTGCTGATCTGTCTGCGGATGAAACCTACGCAGTAACTAACATTGCTGAGGGCCAATCGGCTCAAAGACCAAAACCACTTGGATTTAACAACAATCAACTCACTGTCCCGACGTTGGTCAGCAAAAAAAATTCCTGCTTTCAGGAGACGGTACCAGCCACACAAACCGCTAGTGTGCCTGGAGTACAACGTGGTGTTCATCTACCAAGCTGGAGCTTATTGAGTGATTCTCCAACATCAAGTAGGGGCTCTCCAGCTCCCACAAGCAGGGAGGATGTCGATGATATGGCGGAAGCTTTGAGTTCACTTAGGCTACGTCTGCACTAGGTGTACACAGATGCAAATTTCTTCCAAATAGAGCGTTGTATTATACCTTAGTAGGTGCGAATCGACCCTATCGTAAGAGGACGATACAGTGTAATGTTCTTTGGAATATTATGTCCTCAAGTATTCTAGGGTATATATTCCCTTACGACACATTATCTCTATTGAGATTGACTAGATCGTCGCCAGGTAATAACGATGTTCCTTTATATGCCCGATTTGGCCATTTTTTCATAATCTGCTTCGATTATGCGACCTTAATGTTTCTGGGATCGCTCCTGCACGACGTTGCATGTGATTCTCTTGAAGCCAAAAGTCGGCTACCGAATCTTGCCACGAAGGTCCGCGGCCTTGGATTGTAAGATGATAGTGGTAATCGGAATGAATGGAGGCTACCTTTGTTTGTAGTGGATCCAGCTTCAAATTTCTACAAATTAATTATTCGCCACGATTCTGGATTCAAAATTTCACAGCGGTTGGATCGGAGTTGTCGACATCTGGGTTTCACAAGTTTAAATGGATGGGTACTATTTGACGCAGTGCGATGTATCCGTCACTGAATCATGTTAAAAGGTATGTATAAAACATTCGACACTGCATTCAATGCTACATCCAGCACTTAATACTTACTATGCAGCCATGTTGGATTAAGCATAGCTGACATTGAAACAGCATGCCGCTAAATTAAAGTCAATGTTGGAGATTATGCCCGTTGTGTCATCACATGAGTGCTTTGCATCCCACCCAGCCCGTTGACAGGTGGGTGGATTCTTCTTCAGTAACCATCATAGAAATGCGTAAAATATGCCACAGATGCCGACGATAGACTAAATGTCTTTGGCTCTTCACCAAAGAGAACCACCAATACAAGATTGGACCTGCAGTAGCTATTTGTGCTGTTGGCAACCATCCGAAATCTCAGTGGAGAACTTGAACTGTGTTTTCTGATATGATAGCTTGCAAATATGGTAAAATGGTATAACTATTTGTGCTTTGATATCAAAACGTATGACTAAAACAGGAAATAAATTCATGAATGTTTAGCTTTATCATTTTTTAAAAATACAAAGTTAGTATTGTTGTATGGTTTGTGGAATGCACAAATCTTTCTCTAGACAAACATATGATATTTTAAATTTTTACTGTTTTAGTACATATGCTACTTTTATCACTTTTAGATAATAATTAAACTAAGAAGAAGAAAAAAAACTATTACTAAAACTAAAATCTATATCTGTTATACAATATTTATTTACTTATTAATGATTATTTTAAAACATGGCTTATAATTGTATTTTAATATATTTATATTTATATATATTTTAAAATGTACCACATATCTAGTATTTGTACATAATTTTATAAGTTTAATTTGATACAATTGTAAGAAGTTAATTATTTTTTTACCCACTACTTTGAATAATAATAATAATAATAATAATAATATTACTGGTTGTATTATGGAAAAAAAAAAAAAAAAAAAAAAAAAAACGAAACAAAACAAAACGAAGAAGAAGAAGAAGAAGAAGAAGAAGAAAAAAGTATTCATATCCATTCGGTTCTTAAATAATATGTACATATTAGCTACAAACAGAATAGATAATTTTTCTTTAGCATTAATTTAAGACATCATTCAAATCCACATCCTTGTGAAAATTAGACATATGGGTATTGTTGTAATCTAGCTCTTCAAAATTTGCACATATTTCTACACATGGTTTAATCCAAAAGTACAACATTGAAATAGAGAAATATTGAGATGCAGAGATATTATCACATAGAATTTGAAATCATAGTTGAAGTATCCAGAAGAGGTTGAGCTGGTACAAGGGATTTGACATGTGTTGTTTACTACTTTCTTCTTCCACAGTATGCTCCACATCCATATTGGTCGAACTTAATGTTTCTCGTATTTCACAAGTTTAGCCCTGAAGTCAATATATAATTTCTAACCAATCTACCTGCCTGTAAAGCAACTGCAGAAATAAATGACGTGGACATTCATTGTGAACCCGTGAGTACCCACTGCACAAGATTGTGCTTTGAGATTGCATTGTTCTTAATATTATGCATTTTGATACTTGGTTCTGTTAAGACCTTGTGATTTCAACTTTTGATGAAAACAATGATTTATGCAACCAATCAAAGGGGACTTTTGTCTCCTCTTGTTTATCCCATGTATTTGTCCCCCTCTCCCCCCTTGAGCTTTTCTATACAAGAGATAAGTATTTTTTTCAACTTTTCAACTTTTCTAAAAACTTTTGAACATTTGAACATTTGATCACCTTAATTTAAATTTTAAAAATAGAAACTTGATGAAACTATTATACATACTTTTTACTAAACTTTAGTTCATTATAATTATTATGTTTCATAGTTATAACATTAATAGACTTCAACTAGAAAAATACCACCAGATTGCTTAGGATACACCCTTTTGTTATTTCCGCTTACAATTTTTACCATTTCCACCCAATTCTCCCACAATGCTAGCTGGTGGTGAAGGTGCCAATGTTGGATTATGTCATCACGTAAAACCAAGACATTGCTACAAGCTTGGATGAAAACTTGGAAGCATAATAATTTTGAAACATGGACCACAAGGCGTTGGGTGGAAATAACAGGGCCCTTTATTAATCATCTAATAGTTACAAATTTTCATTAGATTTGAATAAATTATTGATATCAAAGATAATGATTCCAACAAATATTGATTTCATAAAATAATGAAATTACGGTACTAAGAAATTTCAAACCATTGTGAACATACATTTCTTCTTACAATACAACACTTGATCCGAAAATGGAACCACTCTAAGAAAATCAAACAAGAATTCATTGTTTCAGAATACAAAAATACATCAAAAACACGAAATTCACAAAAATAGACGTTAATTTTATTAAATCTAATTCTTGCAAATTGTTCAGAGAAAGGCATAACATCACAATCCAATTGTAAGAATCAAGACTTGTTGAAAGAACAATGACAAGGTACCTCAAGAACTTCGTGAAGCTGTCTAACTCCGCGATGCATTTTAATCAATTAAAAGCTTGATTTGATGTACCACAATGTTTATTTGTACTCTATATTTGGTCATTTGGGAGGCTTACAAGACACCACAACTTGAGGTTGCAAGCTGGATCTTATGGGTTAGATCATCCAAGCTCAAGGTGCCGAGCTCCCCACCGTGCCTGGTTCGCACAGTCAAAGTTGCACTCTCCACTTCCTTGGGTCCTACAACAGCCATCACTGGGATCTTCTGCGTCTCTGCATTACGAATCAGCTTCCCAAGCCGCTCACCAAACACAACTTCAGCTCTGATGCCCTTTTCTCTCAACTTAGCAACCACATTCTTGCAATAATCCACCTGAAGGCACAATCTTAAGCGTCAGTGAGTTCCATTCTTGAAGCAAAGAAATGGCACTATAATTCATCGAGAAAATTAGAGAAGAAAAAAAAAATAGAAAAGACAAGAAAATGAAACAACTGATGCAAAAAAAATATAGAAGAAAAAGATTTAAGGAAGAAGTCGAGAGAACGATTGTAAATATCTGATCTTGGTGAAAAGAAAAATGAAACAGTACAAGAAAATAGCTCACCTCATGGTCCGTCACAGGCAGCAAACGAGCCTGCACTGGGGCAAGCCACAAGGGGAAGTCACCGGCATAATTCTCGACCAATATACCGAAGAATCTCTCAATTGAACCTAAGATAGCTCTGTGAATCAGAATGGGTTGCTTTCTTGAGGTATCAGTGTCCACATACACCATGTTGAACCTCTCGGGTAGGTTGAAATCCACCTGAAAAGACGAGAAATTCAACATCTTCAATGTGTGTAAAATGGGTAAAATCTGCTGAATCAAATTGTTTTGTTGGAGAATGATTCATGCAGACTAGTACAGTAGAAAGAAACTGAATCATAAACAGCCACACAAGCCAGACATGTTTAACATGGGCTGAGTGCCCGATTGAGGTTCACCTGAATGGTAGAGCACTGCCATTTGCGACCAATTGCATCCTCTATCTTCACATCAATTTTAGGACCATAAAAAGCACCGCCTCCTTCGTCAATGCTATATTCCCAACCCTTGTCCTGCAGTGCCTCTCTTAAAGCTGTCGTAGATTTCTCCCAAATCTCATGACTGCCAACGGCTTTCTCAGGTTTTGTAGATAAGTTGATCTCGAATTTCGTAAAGCCAAATTGTTTAAGAACAATCTCTGTTAAATCAAGTACTCCCCGTATCTCATCCCTTATTTGGTCAGGGAGGCAAAAGATGTGTCCGTCATCCTGAGAAGCAAAACAAAAGTGTCAAGCTAGACGACAAGGAATAGCACAGAAAGGACAATATGCTTTACGAAAAGAAACCAAGACTATGCAAGAGTCCAGTTACTGGCGTGTTATCCTGATTAAATTCTTTCGAAAGGTTCCAGTAAAATGAACGAGCATACTCCTTGTTTACTATGCAATCCAAATGAGGCAGACCCCACACGTCACGTGAAATAGAACCAACCTAGAAACTGAAGAGATAGAACATGAACTGGAATGAACACTAATTAGAATACCTGAGTAAAACCTCGAACACGAAACAGGCCGTGTAAAGCCCCCGACCGTTCATAACGATAAACTGTGCCCAGCTCTGCCACTCTCATGGGCAACTCTCGATATGATCGAAGTGAATCCTTATAAACTTGAATATGAAAGGGACAGTTCATAGGCCTAATTTGGTATAATTCCTCCTCTATTCGCATCTGATCGAACATGTTTTCCTTGTAGAATTCATAATGTCCACTTGTTTTCCATAAGTCAAGCTTAGCAATATGAGGAGTGTAAAGAAGCTCGTACCCATTCGCAAAGTGCATTTTCTTCCAATAATCTTCAATTATGTGACGCACCATACTCCCCTTCGGATGCCAGAAGACCAGGCCGCCTCCTGCATCTTCCTAAAACAACAATAACAACAATATCAATAAAAATGTACTAACATAGAAAACAAATTAAGTCGTGTTAACCAAAAGCGTTGAAACAATTGACTATCAAACTCAGCTACTATACCTGTCTCATTCAAACGCAGTGATCACCAAAGTATTTCTTGAACATGGTTGTCCCCATTCAAATCACTGTCAAATAATGCGTCATCTCAAATTAACTGGAGTCTAGGTAATGTCCATGACACTTCTCAGAATCAGCGAACTTCTCTTTAGCTCAGAATACAAAATGCGTCTATTATTACCTGGATAGAAAACAAATTAAGGTCTTGTCCGAGACGCCGGTGATCACGGCGCTTAGCCTCCTCCTTTTGAACTTGATACGCCTTGAGCTGTTCCTCCGACTCCCATGCTGTCCCATAAATTCTTTGTAGCATCTGCTTCTTCTCATCGCCCCTCCAATATGCTCCTGCCACAAATTCGAGCTCAATGGCTCGTTTATCAAGTTGTCCAGTCCTCTCTAAATGAGGCCCGGCACAGAGGTCCCACCACTCTTCCCCTGCGAGAACATTCAAGATCAGATAAACTTGAGAAACATCAACCACTTTCAGAATGATGCGCATTAAGGAATCGAATGCAAATTAGCATGAGCAGCAGACAGATGAAATCAAGCGCATGGAAACCTCACATTTATCGATGGTAGTGTTTCAGCCACTTGAACTGAGATATAGAAAGGGTGGCTTACTGGGAGAACGAACCTATTTTGTATATTGTAATCGGTTCTGTCTTAATACCCTCCAATATCTCTAGCTTATAAGGCTCATTTATGGCCTTGATACGCTTCTCAGCTTCCTCTTTTGCAACCTCCTCTCTCGTGAGAGGTAGATTGCGGCTAATAATTCGATCCTGTGAATGCACACTCCACAAATTCAATTTCTCCACATCGAGAACTGTCAAAACCCTAAGAGCAAGGTCATTTACAAAGACAACAAAAACAGTAGGAAGCAAGACCTAAGCTTAAATAACTGTATCCAGAGGAGTAATAAACTCACCATCTCTTTCTTGATCTTCTTCAAGTCTGTCTCTGTAAAAGGTTCTTCCTTATCAAAATCGTAATAGAAGCCCTTCTCAATCCAAGGGCCGATCGTTACCTGCGCATCAGGAAAAAGCTTCTGTACGGCCATTGCCAACACATGCGCACTCTGTAAAACCGACAAGATATGGTCAGTCTAATCCCGCAAGACAAATACCATGAATCACTTGCATAGAATCACCAAATACTACGTCAGGAATTGGACATACACGCTGGACTAAATCTCTAACAGATAAAAAAATCATTCATACCTAATTTGAGCAGCTTGTGTGGAATAAACAGAAAAAGAGGAGATTGTCAAACTTCTTTGACACGAAAACAATCTATATCTAGCTTCAGCAACCATATAACGCGTCTTTTTTATTTATTTATATACGTATGTAAAAGACACATGGATTGCAAAAGATTTAGTAACACTGTAACCTTAAATACATACTCACAGTGTGACGAATCTTCAAAAGTTTTTCTGATGACTCATTCGTGGGTAAGACGATGGGCTTCTTCTCTTCCTCTACAATCTTGACCTCAGATTCAGCACTAATAGTAGTCTGTTGCTCAGCTGCTGAGGACGCAATTGACATCATTCGCTCCCTGACAACGTTTCCTTTGGTCCAAACAGGCATCCGTCCGAGAAGAGAGATCATGGCTGCATGTTGAAATAGGAGGGAGTTGGAGCTTGCGAGAGACACACAAGCAAATGAATGGTTGCAGCCCTGCCTTGATGCGTGTGAGAAAGCTCCCCTAGAATAACACGAACCATCACTTAAAACACATGATCCAGCCAGTGCCCAAATCTTGCAGTACTAGGAAGGACTCGAAGAAAAACATCGTATGAACCAGTCAACCAAAACTTGAGGTGGGAAAAAAACGAAAAAATACAAAACAAAACAAAACAAAAACCGTGTAGAACAATATATCCAAAATTTCGAGGAGTATCCGACGGGGAGGGCAAATTGTGACCTAACTGAAGGAAAGATTCCTGGGGTGACAAAACACGATCTTCCAACTTTGAGAAACCTAACCCACGTCACCAAATCGCACTAGAACAACGAAAAGCTCACCAAATTCCCTCAAAAATCTCCCAATGAAACGGGTCACAGAGGCAATTGGAACCAACCTGGAGAAGAAGAGCGTGACGCAGCTTGCAGCAGGGGAGTAGAGCGAGCCACGCAGCGATCGGAGCTTGGACAGGGCCATTTCGGACACCACCGCTGATGCGATCCCCACAACTCTTCCGTTTCCGAACACGAGACCAAAAATCCAACACCACCAAATCGCACAACAGTTGGTTCACACAATTCCTCGAGGAACAGCGCGAAAAGGAAGAACTACGACGCTAAAGCACAAGTCTACAGCATTGTGTCCCCTCCGCCACCGCCGCCTAATTCTTCCCGGAACTGGCTGTCGATGAGTAGCAGCAGCAGCATCACCATCGCTCATCCTGCTTCTTCATGGCCTTCGTCTGAAACCTTCATCACCCAATTCTGAATTGTCGAAGATGCATGGATGGGCTCTGGCCTCAAGGTTTCGCAAAACCCTAAAACTGGCACTTTTTGCAATGAATTCGGTTGGGTTTTGGGTTTTCGGGTTTTGGGGTTTTGCTTCTGCTTGAATGACATTTTTGGAACATTGAATAAAAATTAAAAGCTGTGAATTAAACCAAGGTTAAAACGAAGTTGAATGAGGATCTAAACAAAATCTAGATGCTATCCACTGAATTTGATCTAACAAAGGTGAAACCTTTCGAGATTTTGCTTCTTGTTGAAATAAATTTAGACAGTTGATGTGCATTTTGTTGGTTCAAAGTACAAAGCCAAATGATTTTTTATTGTGATGATTTCATGTTCCTTGTTTAATTTTTAATTTTTTTGGAAAAAATATTTAAACATTTTGAGATTATTTTTGTTCAAATTATTAAATATCACTAATGGAAGTCCAATGAGGCGAATTACATTTGATTCAATGTGTGAAGTTAGAACTAAATAACTCTGTTGGTGTAATTCAAAAACTGTGGTTTTTATATGAATATAGTAATATAAAGCACATGATTGGCTTACTAAGAACCAAAACAGAAAATGAAAAAAAATAAAATGCTAACCTGATAAAAACAACCTTAAACTTTATTTCCTCATGACATATAAAGAAGAGTAATATGTTTCAACAACTGAGAATAACTAAAAACATATTGATAATATAAAGAATGAAATTAAACTTGCTTCATTAATTACAAATTTGCCAGGTTGTTATTTAACAAAACTTTAAAATTATATTGCAACGTGATTAAATTACTTAAGTATAAAAGATTCGAATATTTTAATAGAATATTGGTATTAAACCAGTGTAAAAAACAATAACAATAAATCTATATTTGTAATAATCCTATAGTTGTGAAATAATATCAATTTAACTGGAATTCTAACAACATACATAAAATTGCATCACTCACATGATGTCACCATCAGACATGAAATATTCTTACAAAACACGTTATATTGATACTGATTTTTGAAGATTAAAAACACTTAAACTTTTTAATGATAATAATACTTTAATCACCACTGAAACCATTCACTAATAACATCTCCATCTATAGTTCAATTCCACATAACATAAATGAAATTTCATTTTTTAAAATTATGCATATGTATGTATATATATATATATATATATATATTAAAGTTAACTAATACATATACATATTAACTTCAAAATATTTGTAGTGTAAATGCAGTCTATATGTTATAAGCGGACAGTAGTACGTTTGTGGTTTATTTATCAAATTTTAAATTACAGCTTTCGAATTAAAAAAACACCACACTTTCAGAGTCCAAATTTAGAATTAGCCACAACAAGCCTAACTGCAGCTACTCGTAGTTTTTATTTTTATTTTTTTTAATACAAATCCGTGATTTGAATCTTACACGTTGACAGCTGTGTTTAGTAATGGCAAGTGGTTCCGCAGGTTGTTTGGCTTAATTTGGTATTATGAAGTCATGGTGCACAAGATGCTATTTCCACACCGTTTTTGAGCTGGGTTTTAGGTTGTCGGTAGAGAATGGGTCTTTGCTTTGTAATTGCACCGCCACCGGTTGGCGCCAACGCTCGCGCCATCCCGGTGGATGGCGTGGCGGCATGGTGCACGCGCCAAGGCGGGCCCGCCGCAGTCCCCACCGGTTGGCGCCATATGGCGGCCTAGCACAGGCTATCGTCTGGGCTCCACGGCAAGGACGGGCCCGGCCTCACTAAGGCTTTGCTCGGCAGGTTGGCGGCCGAACGCCCAAATCCGCCGTGGCCGCCCTCGAGCGGGCATTGGTGGGGAAGTTTTTGTGGACGGGGGAGCGTTGCCGCCCGATGGCGTGAGCGATTGCGCCACCGATAGCCATGCTCTAAGGCTCACATGCTTTGTGTTGTTTCATTAGGAGTGTATATTCTCCGTTGGATTATAATGAAAATATGCCCAGTACATTGGTTTCACCCTGCTATGGAAAAATTGGCAACAAAAACACGTTGTTTATATTTGGTAATGTAGGAATTCACAATGTCCAAAAAAGTAATTGATTTGTATTCTTATTGTCATTTATGTGATGAATATTATATATATATATATATATATATATAGATAGATAGCTTTTATCATGTGTTTGATTATTTTTGTTCAATATTGATATTGTAATCGACTTGAATTTTTTGATATATATGACAAGTTAATCTTGAGAGTTTTTATTGCTTACTCAAGATGAAAATAAATAAATAATTGATTAGTTAACTAGACAAAATATGTAAAGCTATTTTTTAACAACCTTCTAACAAAGATTTCTTTGACCATTTTTTGCAATCTTTTAACAAAGATGATGCCTTACTACTCTTTTGCTATCAAATATATAAGTCAAGAGTTGTTTCATCAATCAACAAGTACAAAAATTTGTATAGTCAGGAGTTTGTATAGTATTAATGTAGTATATTTTTGTGATTCTTGTTCACATTATTTGTATTGTGCTTTATTTTTGTATGGTACATTGTTATACAACATTAATTTGTATTATAATACTCCCAAAGCAAATTGAGGTCCACAAATGATAGTATACATTTATGTTATCAATGATGATTAGTATAAAATATGAATTAGCATATTTGATCAAATTGAAGTCTCCTACCATTGGATTTGATTTATCACAATAACCGGGGAATTCTAATTTAATTTTAATATGGATTCAAGTTTATATTGTATCAATATTTTGTAAGATAGTATTGATTATAAATGTATTTTTATTTTTACAAACATGTGAATTGGAAATAACAATAAAAGTGATTGAATAAAATTAAAAAATATTTATATTTTATATTCTTAATTAATATAAAAATGATCACAATTGAAGTATTTATATTGAGAATGTTTAGAAAGACACAAGAATAGTAGTAAATAATACATACAAATACAAGAGAGTTTCTAAAGAGAGAGAGAGAGCTTCACATGAAAATCTATTGATCTGGTTGTGTCTCGTATACAAAAGAAGAAGGAGAGAGGATAAAAAGTTTCTCTCCACTATATTCCAAATACTGTAGCTATAGTATTTATTATAAACTACAATAAATATTATGGAGAGCACCGACTACATTTAATTCTTTCAACATTCATCTTCGTTCATCATAATATTTATATAATATAAAATTTGTATAGAATTATGATCTATACTTTTCTATAATCTCGTAAGATCAGCAATTGTTGCTTCATTAAAATCTTATCTAAGAAAACCTTATTGTATTCAAGGACAAAACCATAGTTGAAAGAAAAAGAATACAACATCATTTTTTTTTAATTATTTTAAGAATTCATTAACTTCCTTATTCAAGAAAAACAAGTTGTCGCATACCAATGCCATAAGTAAGTCGGCAATGGTTGCACAATGGGAGAGCTTTGATAAAGAGATCAACAAGGTTATTTGCAAATTCAATTTTTTTAATTATAAGTTCTTAATCAGTAATCAAGTCATAGGTATAACTAAAATAATTTGGATCAATATGCTTTGTCTTGTCTCCTTTAATGAAACCAATTTTCATTTGTAAAACACAACCACTATTATCTTCATATAAGATATTTGGAGAATCATCATATAAAAATCTACAGGTTATTTGAATGAGGTTATCAATTGATCGCAACCAAATACATTCCCGAGATGCCTCATGTAAGGAAATAATTTTTGCATGGTTGGATGAAATTACAGTTATAGTTTGTTTCACTATTTTTCATGATATTGTAGCTCCATATCTTAAAAATACATATTATGTTTGAGATTTAGCTAGTGCACTATCAAATTTATATCCCACATCACAATATCCAACCAATTTTGGATCTGTAGATTGTGTGTAGAATAATCCCAAGTCTTTTATAATTTTTAAATAATGTAGTAAATGTTTGATGCTATTTCAATATTGTAGTATTGGACGTGCACTGTGTCTTACAAGAACATTAACTGCAAATGCAATATCTGGTGTGGTAGATGTGGCTAAATATAAAAGTGCTCCAATCGCTATGAGGTATGGATATTACTTTCCTAATATTTTCTCCTCTTCGTCCTCGCATAGATAGAATGGATCATGACCATCATGACCATATCCAACCATTGGTGTGAACAATGGATTAACATCAATCATATTAAATCTCCATAAGATTTATCTAATATATGTTAGTTGGTAGAGAAAAATGCTACCATCTGTAAAATGCATAATTTGAAGACTAATGTAGAAAGTTATTTTTTCTAGCCTTTTTAACTCAACTTCATGTATAAGTAGGTTAATAGCTGCAATACATACAAATCTAGTGTTCACTAGGTTAAGATCATCAACATATACAGTGATGATCACAAAACCAATTTTATCTTATTTGATAAACAAACAAGGGGTTAGTGGATCACTTACGAACATATTTATAATTAAATAATCTCGAAGACATTGATACTACATGCGTCCAGATTGTTTTAGATCATACATGGTATTTTGTAATTTAATACTATGATATCATTGTAGAGCAGGTACATTTGGAATTCTTGTTTTCAAACCACGTAGAACTTTCATATAAATATGTGCATTAAGTAATCCATATAAATACACAGTTACCACATCCATGAGATGCATTTCAAGGGTGGCATGAACTGCCATTCCAATAATATATCAAAATGTAATTGAATCCATGATTGGAGAATATGTGAATTCATAATCAATGCCAAATCATTGAGTAAATCCTTGGGCAATAAGACGAGTTTTATAGTGGATTATTTGACCTTGAGCATATCACTTGTATATTAATACCATCTTATATCCCACAAGGCGAGATGTAAGAATATCTATAATTGGACCAAAGACTTTTTTATTACACAAAGAAGCATACTCCTCGTTGATGGCAATTTTTCATTTTAATTACTTAGAGCCATGCATCTCTTTTTTGATATTTTGAGGTTCATGATTGTCTTTCTTGTGAGAAAGAACTTTTATAATTATACATGCAAATGATTCATCTACTGTAATAGATGGTCTATCCCAAACATCGTCTATAGCACAATACAAAATAGATAATTTTTTACTCAACTTGATCTTATTCTTTTTCCAAGATTGTTTTTCATAGGAATTGAAGGTACATTATGCATGGATATATCATCATGAATTGGTGGTCCTGCAAGATGAGTGGAAATTTCTTGAGAAATAATACCAGAATTAGTCAATGTTATAGCTTTCTTCTTACATGGTTGCTTATTTGGTCTACAAGTTCTTTTAGTTGTTATTGTTATAACTTGAGGTATTGTAGTCAATGGCACTATAATCTGAATAGATGTATTTTGAGCCTCATTAATAGGAACTCTTGTAATCCTAGGTACATCATTGAAGCCATCAGATATTTCATCTGCAATTTTTTTTGGATGCAAAATCTTAGCAACTTGAGTTTCATTTAAAGATGTCTTAGGATTGAGATTCATTGTAAACATTGCCGATGCTTCGAATACAAGTACTTTATTTCTTTGTTGATTGGATACTCCTCTTTGAAGAGATGAGAATACATTCTCTTCAAAATGGCAATTTTACAAATGAGCATATAATAATGTGCTAGTTGATGGATCAACAATATAAATAATGCATGATAAATCAAAACCAACATATATGCCTTCTCGTTGATGAATTCTTATGGTATGCCATTGAGGTTTTGGTATTAGAATCCAAGGACAACAACCAAATACTCGTAAATAAGATACATTTGAAATACAATCCAAAATAAGTTCATATGGTGAAACAATTTCAAGAGAAGAAGGGCAGAGGCATATTAATGTTGTAACATGTAAAACTACATGACTCCACATAGATGCAGGTAAATTTGCGTGAAGGAGGAGTGGTTGGATAGTGAATTGTATACACTTTATAAATGACTCTCTAAGTCTATTTTGAGCATGTTCACATGGAATATAATATGTCAACTTAATTCTTGTTGCAGTACAATAATCTTCAAAAGACTTTGATACAAATTCTTTTACTTTATCCATACACAATGTTTTTATAGGATAATCAAGAAAATGTGCTCGAAAACAAATAAGCATAGATAAAAGATTGGAAAATACCATGTTTTAGGTTGATAATAAAGAAACATGTGATTGTTTATCTAATGCATTAGTAAGGACCAAAAAATAACAAAATAGTCTCAATATTGGATTAATAGGACCACAAATATCACCATGCAACCTTTCAAGTATTAGTGATAATTCTTGTAAAAGTTTCCAAATGGAAGGCTGAGTAATCATCTTGGCTTGCACGCATGTACGACATAATTTAATAGAGTCTATATTTGCAAGCTTTAATTTGTGCCTAATTATACATGGAATGATCTTTCTAAATAATGTAGATCTTGGATGTCCCAATCATTTATGCCAGAGAGAAGCACAATTCTCTATGATAGATGATGAAAAATTAAATATAATGGGAGGCCGAATTGCAATTTGGTATAAACCATTTTTTGTAGCAAAAGCTTTTTTAACAAATTTATGATTCTTTGCAAGAACCAAAATCTCTTTTCTATTTAAAATGGTGGTTGAGAGGTGATAACCATTGATATGTACATCTCGGTAGCTCATCAGATTCTAATCTGCTGAAGGTGCAAACATTGCATGTTTATATTTTACAATGGAATCCGCAGGTAATTTTACCATCGTTGTTCCTTCTTGGAAACGAAACGCATTTGCTCCATCCATGGTCATCATATTTTTAGTTTGCTAAATTGAAGATTTTTCAATAAAAAATCATTTATCCTACAGGATAATATGTGTTGTTGCAGAATCAATGAGCACATCATTTGATTCATTATTAGAGGTTTTGTTATTTATATAAGCCTCTAAATCATCAACACCAATTGAATCCATGGATGCATCCATGGTATGAACTTTACAAGCCTCAACTCGTAATTTCTTATTTTTTTAGAATATTTTAATAAAATATTTTGAAATATGGCACATATGTACTAAATATCCAATCATTCTATATTTATTGCAAGAACACATCTTTGATTTTTATTTTCTACTATAATTAATAGTAGAACGTTTATTCACTCTATATGGATAGAAATGGTCATATGACTATAATTGCCCTGATGCTTATGAGCACCTTTCCCATGTTTATATAATTTTTTCTTAGACTTTGAAATATTAAGTGCATAAAATTTTGGAACTGTGGTTCCAATAAGACAAGCTTCTACATTGCGCAAGAGTATCTCATTTTACATCTCCGCAAGAAGTAGATAGGACATGAGATTAGAATGACTCTAGAATTTCATACTCCTATATTATTGTACAAGTACAGCAGATACAGGAGGAAATGTAGAGTGACTTTTCTCAATCATTTCTTCTTTAGAGATACTTTGTCCATATAATCGTAATTGTGAGACAATACTATACATTTTACTATTGAAAGCATTTAAATTTGGAAAATTCAAGACACGTAAATGTGTTCAATTATGACGTGCACGTAGAAGGAAAATAGTCTTTTGATGATCAAACCTGGATCTAAGATTCTTCCAAAGTTCTGCAAGATCTTCCATTTTTAAATATTGATGTTGTAATGCAGGTACAAGATGATGACGAAGGAAAAGAAGTGCTTTCCAATGGATAGCACGAAGAATAGAAGTACTTATTGTAGGAGATTCTTCAAACATAATAGCATTCGAGAGTTGTTCTACAAATAAATTTGCTTTTGTCATTTTTGCCCATAATAGATAATTGTTTCCATCCATAGTCAATAGTAGAAATAGAAGAGCTTGAAAATGTTTGGATGCAATGATAATAGTTGGAACCATAATAAAAGCAGTTGAAGATGTTGAAGCTTTCATTATAAATAAATCTGTAAAAAAAATATAAGGTCAAGTAGAAAAGTTAAGTAAAATGTATCTTAAAATATAAAGCCAAATAAAATGATAAAGTTGAACTTGAAATCAAAAATATTAATTATTATTATTATTATTATTATTTTTGAACAAGGTTGTAGATTGTGGCAGCAGAGCAGCAGCAATACAATGGCGGTGGTAGTCAACAATGGCAGCATTAGCAGCAAGGTCGGCGGTAGGCAGCGGAGATGTTAGCGACTATTTGGCAACAGTTGGCAGTTGTTTTGACAAGTGTTTAGTGGCAAGCATACGGCGCAGCAAGGAGGTAAGGCTGCAGCAATTACTCTACGCAAGCAGGAAAGGCAAGGCAATCTAATAAGCAACTAAGATGTGAGGGGCCAACAAGAAGTGCAGCAAGATCATGAGTCATGTACCAAAGTAATAAATATCACACATGGAGTAGGAGTAGCAACAAGTTTGAAGAGTCAAGACTAAAGTAAAAAATTGCGATAGTGTATAAGAGCAAATTGTGTTGATAACGTGTTGAGAATGTTAAGAAAGACATAAGAATAGTAATAAGTAATACACACAAACAAGAGAGTTTCTAAGAAGAGAGAGAGCTTCACACAAAAATCTATTGATCTGATTGTTTCTCATATACAAAAGAAGAAGGAGAAAGGATAAACAATTTTTCTCTACTACATTCCAAATACTGTAGCTATAGTATTTATTGTAAACTACAATAAATATTATAGAAAGCACTGGCTACATTTAATGCTCTCAACAATTTAGATTGATTTGAGATTACCTACAAATGTTGGTATTTACAACAAAGTCTTTATTAATGACAACTATTATTATCTATGAAAGAAACACTACCAATATTATTACCATATATATATATACTTTTCCTTTTCATCTTAACCACCACCTAGGATGCATAATATGCATTAATATGTGTATGTATTTATATATATATATATATATATATATATATATATTGTAGCAAACTTAATTAAAATTAGAAAACGATTGAGAGATGGATTGGTATAACAAGACAAAAATCCAAGGGGGGATGTTGAAAATGAGAAATAAATAAAGAAAGATGGGATCTGGAAGGTTGTCAAGGGTCACTAGTAGTACAGACATAGAGCACTCCATTATACCAAATTAGTCTTCAATTTAATTCCTCACAACAAAAAAATCATTGAAGGCTCAAACGTTTAAATCACATGAAAGGAACTCACCACATGTGTATTGTAAAAATGTCAATATAAGAAAAATCTGTGTAGCTGCAACAAGAGATAGCTATTGGTAAACAAAATCCTTTACATGTGCTAAACTACTTGCCTGTGCTACAAAAGGTAGCATAGTGATCCCAGGAGATCACAAATGGACAATATAACAATCACCAAATGTTCTCAACCACTGACACGTGCATCTGTAGACCTAGAACCAAGTTGAGAAAGAAGACGTTGAGATGGTAGTCATAAATAGCCCCGAATCATTGAAGATGTGCTTATCCAGCTCACCACTGTTCTGCACCCTTGCTTTGTCAAACTTATGCAGTGGTCAAATTTGAGGAACATGTGCGGACATAATCCAGCTGCCCAAATCTTCTAAGCATTATATCCTGCATCAATCCCAATCATATCATAGATGTAGAGGGTTTGCATCTTAACAGCAAAATTAAAACGAAACTCCTTTCGACAGTAACCCAAAGCATCCACAGGTTTCTCAAATAGCTTCAAGTTGCACAAAGTCCAGCGTCAAGCACATCTCATCAAACATGATTTCAGAAAGAGCACGAAGATCCCTGGTGCACACAGGTGTCAGTCAGATCAAAGACAGTCAACCATAACCAATACACAATCTAACATGTAGGGGCAAGATGCCAATAAAGAATATCAACTTACAGAACTAGTCCCAAACCATTGACAGCATTGCATTTGCGACTCCAGCTTCTTCCATGCTCGCATCTGAGCTATACACTAATGTACGATTTGCTCCTGGTATCATCTGATTCAAGTGAAATGGACGCCCATCCTCGGCTTCTTTCACTTTTGAACTGCAGAAAGACCATAATTGCTGTACAAGCAGAGGAAACTATTATTCGCGCAACCAGAAAGCAAGATCGGAATGTGATCGAACAAATTCAGAGACCTATCTATGAACTATATGGTTCCTAATAGCGACATTTACTGAGCTGGCCTACATGAGCAACTGCAGCTAAAGCAAACGAATGAAAAAATGAAATAAAACCTTCTGTGAAGAACTACGTCATTTAAGGCTTTAGCCAGATGGATAAGCCACAGACACACTAGGAGAAACGTGTGCTTGCAGATAACACAGCTACTTACTAAGAGAAAGATATCTTGCTTAGATCAGAATACAACAGTATTGTCCGAAACTTTAGTTGCGAAGTAAATGTTACAAAAGCCACTTCGATCAGATGAATAAAGACGCCCTAAAGAAACTTACGTTAAATACCCAGGAATCTCATCGCAATACCTTAACAGAGTCGCTCATCAGAAATCTTCGATTGCTCCTAGAACCATCCGGAAATCGGACACCCACCCTGCATGTTCCTGGAGCTTTGTTCTCGGGCTCCTCTGACAATGATGGATAAACAATTTGTTGAACAGCACTTGCAGCGACAACATCTGCGTCCACCTTCTCCCCAGATAATGCTCCAGATGGCTCCATGGATGATTCCATATGTCGTGAGCCTGACACTAATGGTGGACCGCTTACTGCTGGCCGTTGCGGCTCATCTGCTTCCAAGTCAACTATATCTGCAAGGAACCCACACTAGACATTAAATAAAACTTGTTCATTACATGATCAAACAAAGATGATTTAGACGCACAATCAAAGACTCAAAGTCGACTCCACAACATGAATGACCTTTGAAAGGTTGGTTAGCATCTTTGGCTGCTTCACGAGGACGCTTATGAGGTGGGAAACCAATTGGCTGCTTATCAAGGGGACCCATGTCCATGTACCGCACAAGATCCTGTTTCAGAACACCAGTGACACATAAACTAGTGCAGGTAAAATGGTTATATTTACAAAGGCATGTCAAACCACTAAATTAAATTTAAAGAGTAGCGAACTAAGCATTATTAATACTTCATATCCAAGTGTACAGACTGCAACCATTAACCACTTTTAGAGAAGAAATTTACCTCTAGAAGGCGCTCAGCACTGATCATGCCTTCCCATGACCGCATCTTTTGTCCGGTGATAGGATCAATCACTAAGATAGAAGGCATAAGTAACAGCTTATAGTAAGTGCAAACTTTCCTCCCTTCTTCTGTATCATCGTACACCTGTGAAAAATTTGGACGCCAATCAAAATCGAAAAAATATTTACAATTCACACTACCATCACGCAAAAATAGAAAAAAAATATAAAGAAAAATAAACAAAACAGTAAAATCTCTAAAACTTAAGGAAGTTTGAATATTTGAGGACGTGAAGAAAAAATATTGGCTAGGACAAACCTGCCAGAATACGAAAGAGGTACCGACAGTGTCCTTCACCGCTTCATGTCCCCATGTGTCCCGATTCAACTGCACCCCAGTTTCCCAAACACAAACATGAAGAGTAAGTCAACCCACCAGACATTGCAATCAAAGATATATGCAATGACAATGCGGGGAAATGACTTTAATGCACCGAAGAAACACAAAAGCACTTATCAGCACTATATTACAGAAGAAAATCTATAAATGAACAAAATCTGTAATTTATTTCAGGTTGACAATTCTTCACATATGTGATTACTAGTATCAAACTTACCGTATAACTAGCGAATTCTGTGGTTGACTGCACATTGACTAGCAACCACTTCCCCTCTTTTGCAGCTTCTGTCTTAGCCTGCACATCCAACTCCGATTTTCACAAGCTGAGAGGTGGTCTCCAGGATAGCTTTTGAGAAATAATACGTGAATGAATTAATGTCATTAAGACTGGCCATTTCTACAAGCTCAATAATCAGTATACCTTCCAAAAACATTCGACCCCAAGAACAACACCCACAAATTAAAGAACTCCACGGCCCAATTTATGGCATAGTTCATACTACAAGGCTCACACACAGGGTAAAAAATCTTCTACCTGTTCAAATGTGCCTTGAAACATAAAAACAAATGGCGGCCGATAAAGAGCAGCTAATGAATCCCGCGATGAACCACCAGCTGATCCTACATGGGTACTGGCCTCTCCCGCACCCCAGCTCGATTGCTGATTGGCTTCATCTTCGAAGTTCCTAAAAGGATCTACAAAGCTATGGCTCGGATATTGCACTGCTTGATGTACCCTGATGCAGTTCATAAGAAAAAGGAATAAACGTCACCTCATCATAACCACCAAATAAACGAACATCACTTCAGAGTGGCACAAAACAATAAAGCAGCAAACCGAACAATGTAGCGAATTAACTCGAACCCATGAAAGAGCCAACAATATGAGAAGCACCACATCCGTCGAATAGCAGCTGAGAAGCAATGTGAAATTAGAGAGTGCTTGCACAAGAGCAGGTACACAACTGCATATAGCTTGAGCATCAAAACTGAACGATGACCTACTGAAATGAGCAGTAACATGTAGATGTGAAGACAAGAAGTAACAACATTCTAATGCTCCGAAGAGATGAGTACAGCATCAAAATAAAATACCTGGCTTGAAGCATATCTTCATACAGAGCCTCTCTTTTAACAGGCAAGGGAGGCCGCACGTAGTTCTCGTTATCACCATTCCTAAATTGAACAAAAACAAACTAAAAATTAGAGCATTGACGAGTTCAGAGCCCCACACGAATCATTTGATGCACAATGCAGGATAATACATGGCATAGCACACGTCAATGAAAAAGTCCCGTCGCTTGAATAGGATTAAGAGGACATCTAAATGAAGGTAATCAAATTTCTTTCGTGCAGCTGAGAATATATGCACTCATTAAACAACGAGCACAACATTCAACAAGAAAACTTTATGAATAACACAAACTGAAAAATAACCACCACTGTACCTTTCTATCCTATGCATCAAAATTTATCAGACCTCAAGGAAACAAAAATCGATCATATAAAGAAAAATGACTAAGACAAAAGAGCTCGGTGCTGGAAGCACACAACACCCTCACTCTCTCGTAGAAAGGATCCACAAAACTAGAAGAACAACTTCAGGTCTGCCAACTCAAGCAGTCAAGATAGAACACTGCTCGGTCAGACCTAAACAACGTAAGTATGTCAATTCCAAGGTTACCCATGTTCCTATACCTGTCATTGACAGTTGAGCTTCCAGGATCCAAACTTGATCCGAGTGTGGCCTGCTCTGGAAGCACAGGGGCCGAGACGACTGGAGCAGCCAAATCGTTATTCGCTCCACCCACCTCGTTGTTCTCGGCAAAATAAAGTTGAACAGCTTCGTTAAGTAACCAACCAGTGGCCTGTAGAACAAGCAACCATGTCAAGCATGATATCTTCAGTCACCGAAACCAGTAGATGACAGACTGAGAGCCATTCAACACTTCTACATACTATCGAATAGTGTCAATGCCAACTACGAGGAAAAGTATATTCTGTTTAAATTGCAATTAGATGCTGTTTGAATGTGCAAGAAGGGATAAGGATCTAATGCCATAAACCCAATAATGATTACATTGTAATTGACGATTTATCGTAAGGTCACAGAAAAGTTTATATCACGGAAGGAAAGGACAACTCGAACCCATGTACGATCAAAACACGAAGCTAAGTACCAGACTACATGCACTGTCGGGCATCCGAAGTTCAGGTCCAAACTAACAAGAAGCACGAAAGAATATGAATATGTATTTAATAAAGCCTACAAACTTGCATATTCAATTTTATAAGAGATTAGTTAACTCCAAAAGAAAGAAAAATGGTCTCCCCGTGCAATCTAGGAATAGGAAAGGGCTAAAAGAGATAGGCATCTCAAAGAAATAGAGAAGATACAACTAAGCGCGAAGAAAAAGTTTTTCTACCCCAACAATCGAATATTCGACAAAAACGAAGTGATACATCCAAAACGGCAAGGAAGATACCATCACCACCTCCAAACGATTGAAACAAGCTAACTGGCAAAAATAATAATAATAATAAATAAATAAATAAAAAGGGGGCGATTATTCCAACAACATCCAACAAAAAGAACTCTCTGTTCACGAAAAGCACGACGTATTGCCATAACTATAACGAAACTAATCGACTCCAACTTTACTGTCAAAATGCTTGTCAGCGTTTGTCAAATGCACGATGAGGGGTAATTTAGCTTGCGACTCCAAATTTTACGTTCAATTCAGCATCGCCACATCGCAGAAAACCCGACTCCAATCCACTGTGACACGGTCTAAGGTGGCGTGAAGTTCCCGTTAAAATGCAAACAAAACCAAAATTCTATAAGAGTACAATAATAGAGTAATTACCCGGGGTATCAATCCCAAATAAAAGAAAATGGAACCCAACAACTCAACACCGGAAGTCGCAACAACAATGACCATAAAAAACATGATCACAAACCTGCAGGAACTGCCTAGCTCGATCCGCCGATTCTCCCACAATATCCATAAACTCCAACATCACCAGCTGCTCCTCCCAATCTGACAGAGTAGTCTCCATTGCTGCAACCAACCGAATCCTGACACACCCGAGAAAAAAAAACACACACACGCCCGAATCAAATCAGCACATCCAAATCCCCTCAGACCCCCACTCCCTCCCTCCCTCACACACAGCCCTAATGACCCCAAAACCTGCTCCAACAAACAAACAAACAAAACAAACCAAACCAAACCAAACCAACACAGATTATCACACGCAACGCAGACCTGAATTCTTCCAATCGATAGACAGATATTCTTCGAGGAAAACTCCAGGATCCCTCCACGAACAAATTATCCCACCTCTGCAGCAGAATGAAACAAACTCATAAACTCACTCTCTTACACACACTCTCACACACACACAAAAAGCCTTCCACAGATGAAAGATGAAGAAACCCAATTGCAGAAACACATGAATTAGGTCTTTCCTTTACTTCTTCTTCTTCTTCTTCTTCTTCATCCAATGGTGCTCACACAGCCTCTCTCTTGCTCTGCCTTCGCTTTCCCCTTTGCTTTGTTGCGCTATGACGACGCCGACGCCGACGACGACGACGATGAAGAAGCAGCGGACGACGATAAACACAACTCTCGCTCGCTTTGCCGCCCCTCCCCATACATTGCATCCATGCCTTCCGTTCGTCGCCCTCATGAATTACGTCCGTTTTTTTGACGAACGATACCGGACGTCGCCCCTTCGGCGTGGCGCTTATGACGGACACAGTTTACCCAAGCTGTTCTCGGGAGCATCGGTCGTTGTGTGCAACTCGTCTGCTGCCGATCGTCGTCCGTGCCTTCCACCCCCTGCCGTCGTCGGCGTGGGTCGCGATTCGTCGTTCTGTTTCGTCCGATACAGTGGCGCGGGTGCATAAGGGGATTGTACTTGTTGTGAGAAAGGAGAAGAGCCTGTTCTGGTGTGGACCTGCCCCGGGTATCGTGGGTAACGGGTTCGATTCTGGAGTAATTCGCAAGGTTCCGTGGAATCGTGATTTGCCTCATGGTCCCTGGACAGTTCCACCCCGGAATATGCTTGGATGTAATTCACCCTGTTGTGTGTTCAATGTTGGGTTGGGTAAACTTTTCTCTGGAGTATTCTATTGTGCGGATTGCTGTTCCTTTGCAATTATACTCTGATCCATGATTATAGTTCCCTTGTATAGATCAATAAAGTAATTAGCTTATATTAAAGTGTGTCAAATTTATCAAATTATAACAATATTCATATATATATATATATATATATATATTCGTTTGTTTATTGACAACATTTCATTTGCTGTAGTTATGTGTTGTTTAGAAAAAATATACTAAGAAGAGTTGGATTAAAAGTTTGGATTATTATTACTTTGGGTTTTGAATGTATTTTGGAATGAAAAAAAGGCATCAATTTTGTATTTTGTGATTATTACATCCATATTAGTGAAAATATGAAATTTTATTATATATTCAAGAAGTAATTGTGCAAAAAGATAGAATAATTTTGTGATGTCATTTTATTTTCTTTATATATATATATATATATATATATATATATATATATATATGCTACAAATAAATTTATAATGCTAAAAGGTTTGCTTTAAAACTCATGACATTGTTCATGCAATTGATTTTCATCATAGAATGAATGATTTTAAGTGTATATAGGCCAATAAGAAGAAGAAGAAGAAGAAGAAGAAGAAGAATATATATGATTAAATTGGCATGTTTTATTTTCTACTACTTAAATCGATTAATACAACAAAAATAAAGAAGAAATATGATATTCAGAAATTTATTTTTATTGGTTAAAAAAATATCAAGAAAACAAAATTTTCTAAAATCATTAATTCTATATATATGTTTTGTTTATTTTATATTTTTGAATTAAAATTTTAATATAATATATTTTTTTTTAAAGTTATTTTTTGCAAAGAAAAAAATAAAGCCTTGAATTAAATTGATTGTCATTTAATAATGGATTTGGATTGCATATTTGTGCAAGCTAGAGATGGATTTGGACAAAAATACATACCATCAATTGCAAATGTTTTGCTATGCTTGGGATTTTTCTAAATTTTTTTTTTTTTTCTATTCTCTAAAACTTTTACCAACTTTTTTTTTATTTGGGATTGAATAATAAGACATTAAGTTGTATATATATATATATATATATATATATATATATATATATATATATATATATATGTATGTGTTAAATTTATAAAAGATAAAATTATCATTATACAAATCAAAATAAATAAGAGAATGAAAGGGACATACAAGGAGGTAGGAAAATATTTATTACCTTAAACTATGACAACATTAATTTTAAACATAACATAGAATTTACTTACACTATAAAAGATTTCTATTATTTTAAAAAAATTATACTTATAGTAATAAGAAGATGTTTTAATACTCATTTATTATTGACTAAATTTAACTCAATTATTTTAAGCTAAGGTTTTCATTAATTAGTGATATTTTAATGTTATTGAAACTTTAACAATCTTAAATTTTATAAATTTAATATTTTTTACTATGTTTTAAGTTCTATAACTAAGGTATTTTTCAAAAATATAATTTAATATATAAACTATTAATTTGAAGTACTTTGTAATTAGTATAATAAATCACTTTATTTAAAGCTATATATATATATATATATTGATAATATTTAATTTATCATAACTTTGTAACAAATTCTTGTATTTATGCTTTATAAATGTTTACTTGTTCCATTTTAAGAAGAAATAAAGTATTTTTGTAACTTCAAATAATTAAATCTATGATTTGTATTATCTTACTATTTTAAGTTACTTATTGCTATTTATTAAACTATACTTTTACCACCAAGTATTTTTATTTTATATCCTTTATTAAAGTATTATAAGACTTGGGCATAATTTTAGAAATAAATTTGTCTTCCTTGCATAATAGGTACTTTTAAAGGAAGATGCTTATAACATGTAAACCTTAAGGATTTTTAATTTTTAATTTTTTAGAAGTCTATTTTTTATTTTTTATTTATTTAAATATATTATCTATATTTTTAATTAATTTTGTTGTAATAATTTATATATTAAGATTGCTCAAAGAGACAAGTGGTTGTTTTCCTTCACCACATATACCTTTCTTGGTTTTCATTGCTTGAAGAGATAAACGGCCAAGACAAATGGTGGTTCTCATTTGTTGCATAGATTGGACTTTGTTTTCATCAAAAAACTTTATATTCTTTGGAATTCACAACTAGTGTTCATCAAGTAGAGATTTTTGTTTTAGCCTTGATCAAACTTTTAATGTTTTGATGTATAGTCAAAGACGTCTTATTATGTAGCACATTAGCTTCAAGTTTTGTAGTGATTCACATAGTAGATTTCAATTCATTGGATTTTGTTTTTCATTGAGTTTTGATGTTGCAATCAATTATATTGTGATCGCATCTATTGTGGTCAATATTGTAATTACTTCTATTGTGCTTTTCTAGTTGTATGATTACAAATGTGGCAATTGACTAAAAAATTATTTAAAAAATGCTTCATTTGGCATACATGGATGACCTACAACTTGGTAAAACTGTGATTTTGTAATCATAGTTGGGTAGTTTTGTGGTTATATATTCAACCTTTGAAAAGATCAAAGTATAATATATCCAAGGTCCAATATGGAGGACGCTTCATAAGGCATCTTCTTTACACTTCTAATATTTTATATTTTTGTATTCATTTTTATTAGTTTTTATTGTTTTTTTTTATTTTGTAATCACAATTGGATAGTTTTATTTTTATATATTCAACCTCTGATAGGATTGAGGTGTAATATATCTAGGATCTAATTTAAAGGACTTCTCATGAGGCACCTCTTCTGGACCTCCTAACTTTTTTATTTTTGTGATTATTTATTATTTATTATTTATTTTTATTTATTTTTTCAAAGAGTATTTGATAGGCTTGTCTAATTCTATGATACATTGTTGATATCACATACATATTGTATGTAGCTTTTTTGGAGCTTTTGAAAGCTTTATAGTTCTTCTTTGACCTCTTCATATGGTTTTTGTAGACATCTCAATATCATTCATAGAAGCCTCACCTCTTTCTTTTTGTATCTTTTGCTACTTCATATTAATCTAATGTATAATATTCTATTATTTATATTAAATAAATTTTGATTATCTATGACACCTTTTGTATTTGGAGCAAATTGATCAATGCCAAATATTAACCTTGAACTTACGACAATCCTTAGATATGTATTAAAAGTCCATGCAATAGATTTTATAGAGTGTTAATTAATGCTGAGTAATTTAATGAAGTCAAGATGGCTTATCCACTTTTTTTTAAATCAATAATAAGATTCTTTCTAGTGCATATGAATTCTATTGACAAATTCTAGAATTTAGTCTATTCTCAAATAAACATATCATGCATAGCCTTACTTCAATTCTATAGAATACCTTATTGAAATATGCTTACTTTAGAATTTCATCTAGGATTTAGTTGGACTCATGAAGTATGTCATCATCTTAAATATTATGATTTTAGTAAATCTTTTTTTCATAATCTAAATAAATTTTGTTTTTATTTTTTTTTATTTTGTTTTTATTTTTTTTCCTACAAAAAAATTTCAAAATTAAATATATGATTATAGATACTATATCAATCAAATAGAAAGCATTTACAGTGGATAGGATTTTTTACTTTGGGTCAAGATCATGTATCAGCTAAAAGAAGAGTAACATAATATTATTCAAAATCAAAGCAAATAATTTGCAATAGCATAATGATTGAAAATAGTGATTACAAGTTTCTATGGGATTATAAATAAAAGTAGATTTGGAAGTTGAATTTTTGCATCATTTGAAAATTTGTATTGTTTAAAAATTAGAAGCAATGAAAGAAATGAATTCTTTTGACTTCTTTGCTTCTTTTGGATTATCACTCAATCATTTCAATTCTGCAAGTTTTGTTTAGTTTCATGTAAACCATTATTGACAATACAATTTGTGCATAGTTTATTTCAAAAGACTCATTCTCAAATTTGTATGACTGAGGAATTCAATGACATACTTAGATCGTTAAAAGCTACAATTTTTTTTCTTTTTTTGCATTCAAAAGTGGCCTTAACATCAGCAATAGTTGACAAATAAGGAGGTGACTTTAAAATAGTACTTGTTGGAATTAATAATTGTGTATATTATTGTAAGAAGTTTGCTTTGTAAAGTCTGGTAGTTGATTGTTGGTGTTATTAGTTGAGTTATTGGTAATGACATTTTGAAGGAATTGAGATGGTGAGTGATGGTAGTGTAAAAATAGGAGTTGATAGTAATAGTGTTGTGATGTTGATTGAAAGGCTTTCGATATGGAAGAGAAGTGCAATGCTAGTTGAGCAACATGTACTGAATTTTGTGATACTTCTTCTTTGAGGACATACTTAGGAGTCTAGCAATATGATTAAGCAATAGTTTATTATCAAAAAATAACTCATTTTTTTATTTTCAAATAATTATATATTTAATATTTGTAATCTTAGTGCCAAAAATCTTAGCTTTATTTCTATTTATCAAGGATATGAATTTCAAAGAAAAAAAAATCCTTAA